GACATCTAAACTCGAAATCGCGGTATTGCAAAATTGGTAATCAAATGAATTCATGCAAAAGTTCAAACTCTGGTACAGGATTCCATTCCTTTGCGGCATGTGGGAGGCCCGGAGCAAAAATACTTTGTGGGTGCCTGTCGAGTACCTGTATGAAAAGGTCGAGATACGTCAGCAAGGAGTCCTTGGAATGAAGCTTGAAAGAGAAACGACACGAATCGCGCATTATCTGGATGGCTCCTCATACTGTTGAGACTTGACATAATTTTTGAAGTCACCGACGGACGGCTTGACATGGCCGGTTCCGTCTCGTCAGTTATCGTTTGAGCATAAAGGTGAAAATCATCGGAGCTCTTCCCCAAAGCAGATCGGAAAAGAAAAAGAAAGGGAGCAAAGAGAAAGCTGAGAAGGCTGCCTACCAGAGATGAGGACGGAAAACTCTAAACAAAGGCGGTGCGACCGCATATGCAACGGCAGAATCTGAATGCGAGAATATTCGGTATTAGAGGAGAGGGACGGAGGAGGGAGGAGGGAGAATGGAAGGAGCTCGAAGAAATTGCAGAGAAAGAAATTGGACATGACGAGGACGGAATATCGTTCAAGGAGAAAATTTTCTTGGCAGATCAGGCTGGTGGGTTCGGCTGCGGGCAGGTTGCGCTGGTGACACAATTTCCACCCTGGCGGTAACCGCTCGACAGGCAACTAGGCCCGCGGGGTCAAACAAGCACCCATCAACCCATTTGTTCTCTTGAATACACCGTCCACTGTTGCTCCTGTAGCAATATCCGCACAGAACAGCAGATTTCTAGTTGCTCCGGATCCCCTCAGACCATCGAGAGTCACGGTTTCGCAGATATCGCCGATTGTCAGTCGAGATGGGAGGTATGTGTCGAGTCACAAAAGCCATGGTCTGCCACTCGCCTCAGCGGAGGCGCAAGTTGATGTCCTTGCGAGAATGGCAACTAACTGAGATCAACTACGGCAGACTTCCAAGCAATCGCCCGTGAGCCTCCTTGCTCCCGAGAAACCATAGGACGCAGACATGCCTAATGTGACGCAGAGCAATTCGTCGAGTTCTACTACAAGACCTTCGACGCCGATCGCACACAGTTGGCAGCCCTCTACGTACGTCTGCAACTATGCGCCCTGTGTAGATATGTCTTGAGCGGGGAAGGAAGAGGAAGAGCTTGATGTTTTCTGACACACCAGTGAGGGCACAGAGAGACAAGTCCATGCTTACCTTCGAGAAAGACCAGTTCATGGGGACACAGCCTATTCTTGAAAAGCTGACGGTGCGTAAACCTAAGCTTTTCAGCGATCAATCGTTACCATGTCCAAGGGCGACTGACGGAGTGGGACGTTGTAGAATCTACCATTCCAAAAAGTTCAACATCGGGTCGACACGACGGATGCGCAGCCGTCCAACGAGCAAGGAGGCATCTTGGTCATGGTGACTGGTGCATTGCTGGTAGGTGTGCCACATTGAAGGCTAGCCTCTGCGTCGAGGTCAAGGCGGCGTGGTCTCTGATGGACACGGTACAAACAGGTCGATGATCAACAACACCCGATGAGCTACGTCCAGACCTTCAACCTGCAGCCCGAGGCCGGCAGTTACTTCGTGTTCAACGACATCTTTAGATGTAGGCGGAATCGGAAAATATCAGGCAGACGACGAAAAGGCTAACAGATGTCGACAGTGGTGTACGCCGCAAGCGGATAGATCAATTAGCCACAAGGGGCGGTGCAGGTTCTGATATTCTGCAAGGGTGGTATCGAACAGAGGCACACGATGGGTCGACATGCATAGCAGATGGCGCAGCTTGGATGGGATGGAGGCTGTAGCGATTGTAAAGCACACAAAGATGGTCATTGAGCAAGCAGGGGAGAAGGCAGCACGATGATAGAAGGGACGCAACCACCAACAACAAGTACTTTGGTATGCACGTGCCGGTGCAGAAGACATTCCGACAAGGCTGAAGGCTGCCATAATTCCTGCTTCCAATCACTTTCGCGCTGCCCGAGTGGCCTAATGTTTCTTGTTCGCGGTCCGAGACGCACTGGCGGACAATACGGAGGATTACGAGTGCTGGAGCTGGTGCGGGTGCTGATGGCGCCACGCATGCGCTGCTTCGGCCGTGCGAGGTCCAGGCTGCTGTATTTCGCTGTGCACCCATAAATGGGCCTTGTAAAGGACTGAGCCCTGGAATTGTCTGTGAAGGCTGGGATAGAACAACCCGGCCATCTTGATTTGTATTCGAGTGTCTACAAGGTACGAGTACCTACCTTGCTACATACGGCGCACAGGCACTGGCTATTACCTCGTCAGCGTCAGACAGACCCTCAGAAAGCCCCATTGACTGTCTTGCCCTGCGCTAGGTACCTCGTAATAATACAGTATTAAGTCTCTGGCTTGCGGCTAGTTTAGGCGCACCGGACGCACCCCTGCCTCTCTGCACCTGCCACAACATCTCGCCAACGCCAACGGTGTCCGTCATCTATCGACAACTTTTGATCCAGCACAGACATCTTCGCGACAACGTGTTCGCTTCATTCTTCGACCCAGTACTCTGTAAGCCTCAGAGTTTTCGATCACAACATACAATCCAAGTCAAGATCAAAGCCAACATTGCTTCCGCGACAAACGTCTCAGATCGAAAGCGTCCCATAGTTCAGCTGCATTGAAACAGGGCCGTTGTGCCACATCTGTCCTCTCCGACTTTCTCAACTTGAACGCCCCCAGTGTCATTGAAAGAGAGAATCCACCATGGCGCTCATGGACGAATTCAAAATGCGCAACTTCAGTGAGTCCTTCTTGCTGCTGGTACCCGCAACTGCACCAGATCAGAGCTGACAGCTGACCGCAGGTATCTACGGGCAATGGTGAGAATTCATTCCCTCTCATTCCATGCGTGGTCGCCAACGATGCCTTCCCTGTGAGCCTTTGCGCTGCAGAACATTACTGGGGAGATACCATATGCTTTTCACACATCGAGTTGAACGGATGTCGGAGAACAATTATGATGAGGTGGCTGAAAGACAGGGATAAGAAAGCTGACTTCTGAATTAATACAGGCTCGGAGTGCTATCCATCATCCTCGGGCTTGCCTTGGGTATCGCCAACATCTTTCACTTTAACCTGCTCATCCTCTTCAGCATCATACTACTGTGCGTCCCCCACTGGCCCCGATCATCCGGATGTACGAAAGGTTGACTTTTGACCGTGGCAGTTGTTCCTCCCTTGTTCTGATATTCATCGAAATCCCGCTCTTACTACGTATTTGCCCTACATCCGCCAAATTCGATGCCTTTATCAAACGCTTCACCACAAACTACATGCGTGCCGCTATCTACGCCGTCATGTCCCTGGTTCAGTGGCTGAGCATCATTGTGGATCCCAGCAGCTTGATTGCTGCCGCCGTGGTGTTGGCCCTTGCAGCAGGTTGTTACGCACTGGCGGGGTTGAAACAGCAGGAATTTGTGGGCAGCACCACGCTTGGTGGTCGGGGAGTGGCCCAGATGATTGTCTAAGAAGCCTTGGTCCGCCTTTCTTTCTCACCGTCCCCGTCTTGTCGAGTTTGGCGGAACCAAAAGTGATTTGACAGTGGTGTACTTCTAGCGGCGCGCCGGGACGCAGAATGTTCGAGCGCAGGGAGTACGGAGTCCATGGAAATGGCATTTGGATGACCTGGCGGAGTGTTTTCACTTAGAGCTCCACGGAATTTTATGATGGTGGTTTACAAGATGCCACTCGATGCACGCTGCAGGAGGCTGGATAGTCATTTAGGTTTATGAGTAGGAATCAAATTAGCATCGAAACCGCCTTGAACTTCATATACTCGTATGGTATCAGACTTGAGACTATGGATTCGCCAAGAGTCGAAAGTGATGAAGGAAGAAAGGAAGGAATCAAGGAAGGATTGTTCGCTGCTGCTGATGGTCCGGTGCCGCTTGAGCAAGATATCATAAGCTCGACTGCGTACATATGCAATGCAGCTTACGGTTGCTTTGGTTTGCCTGTTGGCGTGCGCCTGGACGAGTTCGTGTTAACAGCACCCTTCCGTGGATCGACAATCTAGACAAGGGAGACGGGCAACAGGGTGCCATGTCCAAAACACCCAAAAACACCATATCCACCGCCACAGATCCCCCATCTTTTGTCGTGTCATCCATCATGTTCGCATAGCACGTCCTTGTCTGGTGCTATGCCTCTTGTGGGGGAGGAGATCGGATCGCGATCGACCGGAACATTGGATGGCAAGCGGCAGTACTGACAACTCCGTTCATACTTGTGGATTCCTCCACTCAGTAAGTAGCCGGGGAAGGCGCAGCCAAAGGCAAGGGTGGCACCGACGGTGCGGCTGGGGGCATGGGAGGAGCTGAACTAGCAGTAATAAGCAGTGCGCACGGAGAACCCATCGCCTGGGTTCCTGTGGCTTGCCGAGCCATCACGGTGTCCTTGGAATCTCTGGGGTGTTTGGATGATAAGAGGCTGAGGGCGCGGCGAGCAGCGAGGGAACAAGGCTCAGGTGGCGTGCTAGACCCGAAGCAGCTTGGGCAACCAGTTTCTAAGCCGAGATGAAGGCTGTGTTGGTGCTGTTTCGTCTTGCTTGGTCTGGGTCTTGGGCTGCTTGTCGAGTGCATCGGGCCCCCAGCGGTGCCCAGCCCATACCTCCGTGTGCTATTCTTTTCATTTGCTTTGCGGCTGAGGCGTCCGTGTTCAATCGTCAAACCCTGTGTACGAGGCCAGGTCCCTTAGTCTTGTCCGGTGTCCCTCGTTTCTTTGCTTTGTCCCTGGCCTTGGACCCGAATGGCAACTTCGGATTTCTGACCTGAAAAAAAAAAAAAAACATTCATCGAAACATCCTCTCTTGTCGGTGACAAAACTGTGACACCCTCTCAACTCTTTACATATCAGAAAACCAAAACGGAAAAGACAAAGGAACGATGAATTAGCCCGAGCAGCACTTCTTCAACAATGTCGCCGTACGCTTCAGGCCTGAATCATGGAAGAAGACAGTCGACCCAGCGTATATCTCAATGTTCCAATCACTGACGCTGAGCGCCGTGCTCAAGTTGCCGAGGCCGCCGTCCGAGACGACAGCTCCGAGCGACTCTTGCCAGAACCTCGACAGCCTTCGCCAGAATTCCAGTCCGCACAGTCTTCTGCTCAACTACAGGCTCCAGTCCCCAGCCGATTTCCGTCAATACACGCTCCCCCCGTCATAAGACAGTATGCGCCGAGATTCTCGCAAAGACCAGAAGTTCGCCAATATGTCCCCATCTCCCCAGTCCCCGAGGAAGACGAACCCGAGTCCATCAGGCTCCGGCCGCACTCGGCTGTCGTCACTGACGATGGCTATCTACTCCCTTCCCCAGGGCCGATGCCGACTTTATGGACTCCCATCTGGTTGAAGCGGTGGTTTCTGGGCCTCTTTGCTCTCGTTTTTGTCGCCTTTCTGATCGCCCTGGTCCTCCTTTGGCACTTTGATGAACAGAACGATGGTTTCCACGTTGACCAGGGAACGAACCATGATGCCTGGACTTACACGCCTACTGTCATTGTCGTTGTTGTCGTGGCCGCTTGGAGAATGGTTGACCACCAATCCAAGCTAGCCATGCCCTACGACGCTCTCCAAGACGGACCGATAAAGCCGTCCGAAAGCCTTTTGGTCGATTATATTTCGAATTTTCAGCTCGTGTCGTTACTTGAAGCGTTCAAAAACAGTCATTTCGCCGTCATTGCTTCGATCACCGGATTCATGTTATTAAAAGTTGTCACCGTCTTTGCGACCGGGTTGTTGGTTGCTCTCCCAACACAAGTAACTCAAAAGGACGCGATCGTGCGGGCCAGGGGATTCAGCGCGGATTCTTTCGACCCGAACGCCGCACTCACTTCTTCGGCTTTCCCGGCTCAGCCGGTGTATGCGTACTATGGTAGTATGGCCCAGGGTGTGCCTTTGGAAAATGGCGTTAGGTTTGATCTGGCATACAGTGCCTTGACAGTCAGTTCTGATACCCCGATCGGCGACGATGCGACAATTTCCGGCGAAGTCGATGCCTTTGTGCCGACTATGACATGCAAAACTTTGAATGTGCAGTTGGGAACTCCACGGATTGTGAACGACACCAACTCAGCGAGCGCGTTCGCCACTTCGAGCAATATCACCTTCACCATCAATGCGGGCGATGTATGCAGTCAGCTTTCTTCAGTCGCCGTGCCAGCGGACAATCCGTACACTGAAATTCTCCCGAAGCATCAGGTCACAGGTACTATGCAGCAGGTCTTCTGTGGAACCACGAATGCTAGCGTACCTGATTCGAACGGCCCAAAAGGGCTGTTATTCACGATTACCGACATCAGTTACCGGCAGACACTATTCGACAACGCTACTGACCTCGCGGGGGGTTCGTTTATCATTGCGAGTGATGTTTCCAGGATGCTTAGCAATATGACGAACGTGTTCTGCACTCCGTCGTATTCGATGACCAGGGCCCAGATTACTAACAACACCCGGCTACTCGAGAGTAATAATGCCGTATCAGTCACGTTGAAGGATGGGGCAAGCAATAGCACTCTTTCGGGATTTTCGAATTGGAATGCCACCATTGTCCTTACGCAGGCTTCGATTGCTGCGCAAGTTCTCTTTGGCGACACGATCAACGATGACACTATTTCCGACTCAAGCGCCATCTTTACGCTCATGGCTCTAACGCGGGGCTCCCAGAATATCGACACTTTGATTAACCCGGATGCGATGATATCAGCTGCTCAGGACACGTCCAAGGGCCTTTTATCTCAATACGCTCATCAAGTCTTAAGAGCCGCGGACGACGCCGATGTGGATGGAGGAAAAGTGACACGTCAAGAACGGAGGCTTCGAGTCAATGATGTTTCTGTGTGGACGATGGCTTCGGCATCTGGATTGCTGTTCTTTTTCTGTGTTGCCTTGATTTTCATCGCCCCCAGAGCGGTTGTTCCGCGCGATCCAAGTTCCATTGCGGCGATGGCGACGATGCTGACCAGAAGTACCGAACTGAATCGACTGCTGCGAAAGCAAGGCGCACCGAGCTATGCAAATCAAAAATCAGCGTTGGCAGGTTTCGAATTCGGTACGGCAATCGCCACGACGGATTCTGGGACGAGGAGTTTCAAGATCGTCACCTCAGAAGGTGAGCCAGATGAACCAACCACCAAGCCGACTATGGATATTAAATGGTGGGTGCCGATCACGGCAACATTTCCGTTCTTAACGCTCACCTTGATTCTTCCCCTGGGCCTCATTGTGGCGTTGGAGCTCATTCAACGGCATTCTGATGATCATAATGGGTTTTACACCGTGGCGGACGATAAATGGACGGAGATTTACAGCCACTATATCCCAGGTCTCGTGATGCTTATTTTGGCAGCATTTGTCAACATGCTTGATTTCAATGTGGCGTTGTTCACTCCCTGGAACAACCTGGCAGAAGGCAACGCCATTCACAGAAGATCGGTCCTCAACAATATTCTTGGAAGATCACCTCCATCCGCATTCTTACAGGCTCTGAGGACGCGGAGCCTCGGTGCTATGTTGAGCATCATCGCAGCTGCGCTTGCTAGTCTTCTGGCAGTGATTGCTTCAGGCCTGTACTACGTCCAGCATTACACAGTTGACGGGGCGAGTATTTCGCTTACTCAAGTTGACTCTTTCGACCTTCAGTGGCCAAACAGCTTCTCTAATGACAATGGAGCAGCGGCCATTACCAGTCTGATCATGCACCAGAATTTCAGCTACCCTCAATTCACATACGAGGGACTCGTTTTTCCGAAGCTGTCCCTGAACAACTCCGCTCTGACAAAGGATACACTAACGACGGTATCTGGATCGTCATCCCACGTGCTCCCGGCTGTTCGCGCAAATCTCAAATGCGATGTTCTTGCCAGTGACTCTTTCTCCCTCTCCACAGAAAAGGCAGGAACCGACAGCGCATACGCAACGGATCAAGCATTCATCACCGCCAGAGCAGCGCTTCCGGACTCTTGTCAGCTCGGCGGCTCAAAAGGCACAGATGACTTTGTTCTTTACGAAAATAATTTCGAACTGCCTCCAGGTGGGAAGGGAACATTTGCTGGTGCTCAATTGGATCTTTTGTTTGGAGAGAATGCGACAACATACGGCAACTATGGCGAGAATCGTGGTCAATACATCAGTGACAATCCACCAGTTGGCTGCCCAAGTTTAGCTTTCACCTTTGGCCATTTCCAGCTGGACAGCACGGACAGAAGTCAAGTGACCACAATGGTGTGCTATCAAGAAATCCAAGGCCTCAACGCAAATGTCACATTGCTACCCAACAGTACAACCATTGATTCGAGCCATCCACCAGCAGTGGTCGAGAGCAGCATCTTCCTCCACGATAATCCGCTCAGCAATAGCAGCGGGGTGAAGACATTCGACTTCCGCATTCAGAACAATCTCGCTCAAGAGGTGACTGTGTTTAACGGCGAGGGCGGGACACCCGCGACCAACCCTTCGACTACAAATACATTTGACATCTTCTTCCAAGCCATTATCAACGGTTCTGAACCGCACGACCCAGCAACCCTAGCTGGCCCGGACAACCAAGATGTCCTCATCGACGCAATAAACAGGTTCTATCGTATCTACATGGCGCAAGCCATTTCCGCAAACATGCGCGGACCCTTGAACAGTCTGAGCACTTCGTCCCGCCTTCTTCGACGCCAAACTTCGTCCACAATAACCTCCCTCACTACGGTGGATACTCCGCGGCTCGTCCAGGATAAAGACAGCAAGCTTATCCTCCAAATCCTCCTCGGCATCATGACGGCCTTGGCCGCATCAGCGTGGCTAACCACGAAGTTCCAGCGTGTTCTCCCATGTAACCCGTGCTCGATGGCAGGGAAAATGTCCCTCCTCGCGGGCAGCGATTTGTGCCACAGCGCCGACGATGGACTATGTGAATGCTGTGGGAAACCCCGTCGACGGTCATTTGGACATGACGATGATAACAGACCCGAATCAATTCATGCAGGTCCAGAGGAAAATGGCGACGAAACCGACGAGCGCCAACAGGTCATTCCCGACGGCGCGGAATGGATGCCCGCCTCCCAATTCGAAACCGTTTTCGGTGGGAAACGCTACAGCATGGGCTGGTGGCGCGAGCGGCGACTCGTGGGCAAAAGACGAAGATTTGGCGTGGACATCGGTGCTCGCGCCGATGGGGCAGATGACCAAGACTGGGAGCTGGGGGAAAGAAGGCCCGAGGGAACTGGGTTTAGCGATTTTATGATGAGAGGCGGCGATAGGGATGGCAGGGGCGAGTATTCAAGATTCGGAGGCCGTTCGAGAGGTGCGAGTGTGAGTGGACCGAGCCCTGAGCCCGGGGCGACGGAAGGAAGAGGGGGGCAGATGATGAATATGCCTCGAGAGCCTTCGCCGGGAGTGTATGTGCCCGAAACGGGTCGAACGGGCCAGCCCTTTTACCACGATGGAGGAGGACCAGGCCCGTCGACACTGGCGGGAAGGCGGAGTCCTGTGGGGGGTGAAGCATAGATTTATTGAGACTCGGTTGATAAAGCTGACACGGCGGTTCTTCTTCCTTTTGCCACGCTTGTTTGTAAACTACGGATTTCTTTTCAGGTTGGTCACAACTCATGACGATTGATATATGGAGTTTCAGGTTTGGGGGTTTGGGGTAGTGGCACGATACCCTGGCAGTATATACCATCGGCGCTGGCACTGGATTTTCATCGAGACCATTTTCACTTTCATTTTCAAGGGCTCATTCTGATTTTATTTAATTCCTTTATCTTTCTCTTCTCTCCCTCCCAAATGAGTGATGCATGGCGTGGGATGTTCACACTCAATTGAACCCTAGAAAAGGGGCCATCACGTGATGTAGATGTGGACCTGGGCTTCCGTAACACGCTCCGAAGATCCTCGGTCACTCTTTGAGAAATCCATCACAAAATCACAAAATCACAAAAATTAGCTTCTGATTTCAAAGCGGCTGCAGAGGGGCAGCCTTCGGGCGTCGAGGGCCATGAACAATGTTGGAACGGTAGCTCTGCGCATAGCCAGGAATGGCCTGCAGGCCTCGACTCGCCAGGCCCCTCTCAGGCCTGTCTCGCGGGCATGGCTTCTGAATCTATTTCCCTGCCATAGCCAGGACTCTCTTTCATTCTTGCGATCATGCAATCCACTTCTTCAGTCTCCTTTGCTCAAAGTCCAATTGCGCGCCTTCTCGCAGTCTGCGCAATGCAGCTTCCGCCCGTGTCCTATTGTTCAGAAACTCAAACCTTATGGTTCTGACAACAAGCCTGAGACAGGACTGAGATTTCAGGACGCCGAGCTCAGCAGAGAGCAGATACTGTCTATCTTCGGACGACCCGCTCCTCCGCCTCGGTTTGCGAACAGACTGCTCCGAGTCCTCCATGGCCGCCGCCACGACGGAACGCTTGATCTGCCGCTCCCAAAGGACATTGAGTCGCAGTTGGGGGAATATCCCCATGCGGTCGAGGACGGTCTCCGGTTTTTAAGGCAGGCGTACCCAATCGACGAAGATGAGGCTATTATGTACCGCATTGATCGGGAAGAGGATAAGCTTGAAAAGGACCACCCTTCGGTTCTGATGCAAAGGGGACAAGATATCGGTCTCTACAGAGCACACAAAGCGCCGGAAGACACCTATTACGGTCCCCAGAGTGGATACTATCAGGCTGAACTTAGCGAAAAAGAGAGCGACCCGTATGGAAAGAGCGAACTAGACAGAATCCGCGCAGAAAATGAAGCCAAACGTGAAAAGGAAGAGGCGGAATTGCAAGCACAAATCGACAAGGAGATGGAGAAAGCCCAAAAGGCCCGGACTGAGCGATCCAGAGCACTTGCTCAGCGACCGGACCAAGGTTTAGAGACCGCCAAAGAGCTGAGACCGCCCAACAGGTTTGAGAGATGGGTGCTGAGAGCTCGTAACCGAGCCCAGTCAAAGCTGACACTCGAATCGCCAGAGATCGCTCAGATGACCATGATGCAGCGCCTGTTTCCTTCGCTACTCCTGGTCGCATTCTTGTGTGGTGGTTCTTACATCTTTGCCCAAGTCTGGACTCGACCAAAACAGTCCGATCGACTCTTCCCGGGTGTGTCGCTTTCCTTCGCCACTATTGGCACCTTGGTTGCCATCAATACCGCCGTCTGGCTGGCTTGGAAGTTCCCACCTTGCTGGTCTATGCTGAACAAGTACTTCTTGTTTGTTCCCGCTTATCCGTATGCACTGAGCATGCTGGGCAACCTCTTTAGCCACCAAACACTATGGCATTTGACGATGAACATGGGGGCTTTGGCTATCTTTGGTCTTCCTCTCCACGAAGAGATTGGCCGTGGTAACTTTCTATCCATCTACTTTACTTCGGGTCTGGTGGGGGGCTTTGTGAGCTTTGCGCGCCATCTTGCTCAGCGCAACATGGCAACTTCGGTTCTGGGTGCTAGTGGATGCGTGTATGGCATCATATCCGCATATCTCGCTCTTCATTTACGGTAAGGATGAAATCCAACCTTCTCGAACTGCGGCACGCACTAACACGGGCCCTCACAGTGACAACTTCTCTCTTATATTCATCCCCCACGACTGGACGGACAGATTATCTTTCAGCGGCCAAACGGTCTTGGTAGTTCTTACGTTGAGCCAAGTGTTTGGGGCGTTGGGCCGTCTAGGGAGGTACGACTACATCGATCACTTGGGTGGGATGGCGGTGGGTTACGTCTATGCTCGGTGGCTGCAGAGCAACGGTCACAGGAGAAGGGAAGACACGACCAGGCTGGGTGCATGGTGGACGAACCTGGCCGGGAAAAAGCCGTGAGCATATGTATGATCAGGGGAGGGAAGACAGGACTCGACCTTGCCTGCAGGAGAGACGGTGGAGGTCTTCATCCACGTCCGGTGTGTATGGCTGCGGAGGATCGAGAGAGAGAGCCTTCGAGGACTCGATATAGTTCGAAGAGGCCTTTACTTCGGATACACTACGACTAGACTGGCCTCGGCCGACTTAGAGATACTGTACGCAGAGGCTCTCCGGACGGCTCTCTTGCTCACGATGGATTGCGACTCATGTGCCAGTCCATGTAAAGTTGCCACAGAGGCAACATCTGGGATATGTCAAGCATCCATCCGCTTGACTCGATAAAAAAAGAATTCCACTCTCGTGCAGATGTCACCACCAATATAAATTGTGGTATAATGGGAAGCCCATCAAAGCCGAAAGTGGAGGAGTCTCGTTGGGCATTTCCGCCCCGCCGACGTCACAACTCTCCGATTCGTAGAGAAGTCGTCTTCGAGAAGTTTTCCGCCATTATCTCCATTTGCTCCAAACCCCCCCGAGCATCCCACTTCCCACGCTGCAAATTTTGCTCTTCTCTCGTGTTTGCTCGTGGCCCTTGGCGCTTCAGCCGCTCACTGAAGAATCAGGCGCCATCAGGCTCGGCCTCACACCACCTGTTGTCGCCCATACCAGTACAGTAACAACGCATCCTTGCACTCCAAATGGCCGACGCGTCTCCCTCCCACCCACTGCCTTCCCTGTCCCTTCTGAGAACCCTCGAACCCCCTGGCTCAGGGAAGACGCGATCATGGCAATCAATCCCGCATCCAGACCCGTCTACACCGCTCCTCGCAACCGGCTCCGCAGACAAGTCCGTCAACATCTGGTCGCTGCGAGATTTCTCCCTGATCTCGACGATAAGCGGAGGACATAAGAGGAGCGTGAGAACTGTCGCGTGGAAGGATTTCGGCGGCAGCACCAAGGTCAGGAGGAAGACGGAGCGGAAGAAACCTGTGGTGTTGGGCACAGGTAGCTTTGACGCGAATGTCGGGATTTGGATGTGGAATGATGATCGGAGGTGGGCGGCCTTTCGAGATGCAGACGATCAAGAGAATGAGAAAGGCCGAACGCCGCAGGATGAAAGGAGCATGTCTTCTGACACGGGCGAAGTCGACATGACCAACGACCTGGCCGACGACGAAGATGAAGAGTGGCATTTTTCCACTCTGCTGACGGGTCCCGATTCCGAGATCAAATCCATTGAATTCTCGCCTCCCCATTACCCGGCGAACCTCTTGGCGACCAGCTCAAGAGACAAGAGTGTTTGGATCTGGGAAGAAGTAGAGCCCGAAGAGTGGGAAACTATTGCGGTCCTGAGTGAGCATACGGGCGATGTCAAATGCGTTGGTTGGTGTCAGGGGGCAAGAAGGGGGAACGGCCGCAGGTCGAAGCGAAGAAAGCTCGAAGATGCAGGAGATCGAGACGGAGATGTCGATATGGGAGACACAGTTGGGCGACCAAACGGCCTGAGTTCCGCAACAACAAGGACCCAACAAGACGTCGACGTCGACGAAGAAGACGAGGTGGACGTCCTTGGCTGTCGCCCCATCCTGGCGAGCGGTTCATACGACGACACAATCCGCCTCTGGCGGGACGTCGAGGAAGAAGGCGACTGGATCTGCGTCAGCGTGATCGACGGCCACGGGGGGACAGTTTGGGATCTTAAGTGGGAGAAACACGTCAATTACTCCCTCTTGGACCTCTCGCAGTGTCGCAACGAACGAGACCGAGAGGTTGCGATACGAGAATTTGAAGCAGATTGGATACCTCGCATCATCTCTTGCTCCGACGACCTTACGGTGCGTGTGTGGAGAAGGGAATTAAGTGAGGCCGAAAAAGAGAAGAGAAGAGCACAGTCGCAACACCAGTCGGCGCCAATGGGATTTGCGTCCTCGCGAATACCCAGCGTGATCCGCCCGATGAGCGCGATGGAGAAATGGGTCGACGACTCGACATTGCCCGCCGTGCATGTACGGAGTGTATATGCAGTGGATTGGTCGAAAAGGACCGGGATGGTGGTGAGTTGCGGCGGAGACGGCACGATAGCGGTGTACAAGGAAGTAACTGCGCCAGCATCCGCATCAGCAGCCGCAGACAGTGCGTCGAGCGGTGGAAGTATGGAAGGAGACGACGTCGTCATGAACGGCACGACGACAACATCGCTATTACCCAGGCCCACCCCAGAGAACAATAACGTCCAGGGCGGCGACGACGCGCCTTACAGGCTGCACCGCTCGAAATGGGAAATCGTGGCGCTCATGGAAGCCGCCCACGACGAGTTCGAGATCAACCACGTCTGCTGGGCCGAGCGGCGCGACAAGGATAGACGGTTCGACGGCGAGGAGATGATCATTTCGACTGGCGACGAGGGCGACGTTAGAATATGGACCTTGCCTGACGACCTCATGGGAGAGTTTTGAGCGAATCTGTTGTGGCGAGGCTCGCTCGCTGCCTGGCTCGCCATTGAGGCGAGAACGACATGGATATTGGATTTTATCTCGAGTAGAGGGAGTTTTAGAAGCTTGTAGATGATGGAGAGGATGGAAAATGAAGAGCTGTGAAGTTCTTGCCATGATATATATGTATGCCCGCCATGCTTTGCATACGAAATCTCACTCCTCCTCTTCCTCCTCCCTGCCCGCAAGGAGTCCTTCAAACCGTTCATCTAGGTTAGCTTTTTCCTCGCACACTCTCTTCTCTCGCTACAGGTATCCCGTGCCGAAAACGCCCTCAGGACAGGTAGGTACCTAGCACGAGATCGATCTCCCCTTTGCTGGGTTTCTGCGTGTGTTGGGTGCCAATCCAGCCCTGCCCAGTCTGGTCGACCGCCCTATTGTATATCCTCCATATCTATATACGAGGGAGTTGGACGTGCGTGGGCCGACTCTCTGTCCACCGTCGTCGATCCACCTATCGTTGATTGGGGGCAAAAGTGCTGATGGGTATATATGCATGCATTACATAGAATGGATTTCTCAGAAGCTGCAGAGTCCTCGGTACAATTGAGATTTCGCTGTACGTAGCGGAGATCATCATCTCAGAAGCCAGCCATCGTTTCCATACAAGGGGACTTGGTACCGTAGCCCAAGACAGGAGAAGAGAGGAGAGGAGAGGAGACTTGCTTGTTGTCGAGAGAATTTTGAGAGCAAAGGTTCCGGAAGTGATGAGCTAGTGTCTAGTCACTCCTACTTGTAGATGGGAGGCTCTGCTTGACTGCCTGACCGCGTGATAACCGTGTGTGGATCCCTCGCAGGTTCAGCCTTGTCAGCCCTTAGCAAGGCTGTAACCCACTAGGTCTGGTTCAAATCATTCACCTTTATATTTTTGTTGCGCTCAATTTCTGTCACACAAAGACCCCCTACCACGACTAGGGCGATTCCGAACCGAGATCACAGCAGGCAGTCCAGGTCCTGTCAGGTCAAACTAGCACCGGGCTAACAGGCATCAGGACCTCGATTCGATCCTTCTCCTCTCCTCCGATGACGACAAAATCTATGTCTTGTCAGGACGAACTAACAATAACGGGTTGGCAGGCAGCAAGACATCGATTCGAACGGAACCGATTGATTCAACCGTATAGAGTTTGTAGTATAACCGGCCGAGAAAAACCAACCCCGAAAGGGGCGAGTTTCGCTTAACACAGACCAGAGGTTGGCTGTTCTGTGTTAAGTTTTTGCACTTTTTGACGCCAAATATCAATCGATGGTTTTTGTGTGATCCGCGTGATCCCCGTGATACACCGGTTGATCGTTGAGGGATGTATCTGCTTGGCGAAGTGTGCTAGTGAGATGCATCACCAACGTTGGAGGCAAAAAGACATGCCCGATTCGTGAAGTTGTCCACTTGAACCTAGTGAAGTCAATCATAGTTCAGTCTCCTTCGAGGTAGGCCTCTTTCTTCAGCCGCTTCACGGCCTTGCGAGCTTGATTCATACTCCCTCCCAGGAACTCCAGCTGTCGAGTTCGCTCAGCCAACGCGTCTTCCGTCACGTCGTCCAACACAAACTTTCCCATTTGCCCTCCCCTCCATTTCTGCACAAACTGCAAAGCCGAAGACTCAAAGTCGGGCAGCCCGCCCTTCTTTAGGCGACCCTGTTTCCGCGCGAGGCCCTCCAGCACATCAAAAATATCGTTGCTTGGTTCAGCAAACATGCTATATAACGCCGGATCGCGAAGATTGAGGTGGTACAGGAGATAGTCGGCGATGGTTGTGGGCGGGATAATCGTGTCTTTGACATTTCCGCAGAGAGCGAGCTTCAGCATACTCTCGGCATCTGGGACGTAGGGAACGAAGACACCAGGAGTGTCCAGAACATATACGGCCTCTCTACCACCTTCCGCTTCTATTATCTTGACATCACTGCCGATCTTCCTGGTTACTCCTGGTTGATCTCCAGTTCTCGCAGCCTTGCTTTTTCCCAAGCTAACATTCCGCAAAGCGTTGAGAAGAGATGACTTCCCAACATTAGGCATGCCCACGACCATGAGACGGGTGCCGAAGAGGGAGGTCGAGGCATTCGCGTGCGCCCGTGCAAAATCGAGGACTCGGTTGATAGCGACTCGCGACTTCACATCTGCAAAGAATGATGTGGATGGAGAATCCCATTTCTTGATGATCTTTTCTCTCTGTTCCAGGTCAGAACCGCCATGTGCAAGCTCATTCCCCGGACTGCTCATACCTGCTTGTCTTCACTGGTGAAATTGCTTCCCAGATCTTGCTTGGTGTAAACTATCAATCGGGGTCGTTCGCCGAGGTTGGCTTCGAATAACGGATTACGAGAGGCAATGGGCGTTCGATAGTCTCGGCATTCAATGACCAGATCGATTTGCGAGATCATTGATTTCATCTTCGACAAACCGGCCGCATGATGGCCCAGGAAGTAGGATCTAGGTATCGACTCGAGGTGTGGGTACACTCGGCGAGGCACGAATGGGCCCATGTTGGATGAAGGCGTTTTGCGGTGGAAGGTATAGGTCTTCAGCCATTGTCCTCATTTTAGCCGCTCTATGTGTTATTGCAGCATGCTGGACGACCTTTGGATGGGGAGGAGTTGGCACGAAGTTAGGTTCGTGAGGTAGAATTTGCGCGTGGAGTTGAAAATGCCGGCTACGGTGGAGTATGTTTCGCAAGGCGTAGAGCACACTTCCTTTCCACTCAACAAGGCTCCCACGAGAATCATCCTTCGCTCTGATACACGCGGCCATTCTTCGAAGGTGAGTTGTACCGACAAATGGATCATGGGCTGATAGTCTGTAGAAAGGCTTCAAACCCTTGGAGCTGCAAGTCTATTGGTGGAACCAAATGATATGTGGCCGAAAGTGCTACATCATTCCTCCACACAAACTACTTGTTCTAGGCAAATGAACCCCAGTCTATTGCAAGAAAGTCCTAAATGCAGTACGATGACACTTGGAATACAATGCAAGCTAGATGCGAAGCAAGTGCAGCGTTCAAGACGATGTCTGGGGTCTTCTTGGGTCCATTTGGTCCTTTCTTCCCTTCAAAACACCCAGGACAAGTGGCCCAAGGACAAATTCGATGCTCTGATACAGCATGCCACTTCGAAGGCCTGAGTTCAGTCAACCATTTCGTTTAATAGCGCATTTTGCGATGCACTTATGGGAGAGAGTATGGCATTGCATGTCGCTCAGCACAACATGACACCGCATCATTTGCTTTGAATCCTCTGCCTGCCCACTCGACATCTGGAGAGTAGCACGCAAGGCGTCGGACGCAAAATTGCTCTCTTGTACCACAATTCTTTCTTTGGTTTGACACGATGTTTGCAGATTCGGTGGCCGGCCATGTCCAACGGCTACACTGCCCCTCAGCTAGATACGGTGTCCGCCTAGGACTTCCCATCGCTTAGCGAACCAACATTTCCTGTGCGCAGAGCACCACCGGCTTCTGTGAGGCAATTGAGCTGCGAAGGCGTCAAGAAGACCAGCATTGCACCGCTTCAGCTGTCGAGTCGGCAAGCTTTGACTGTCTCCCGTTTATCCCGTCTTTCAGGTTTGTTGCAGTGCAGAGCCTTTGTCCAGCTCTGGCATGGTGGATAGTTCTGTTAACGCGCAGCTAGCGTTTCACTGAGTTTCACTTCAAAAACTGCCGTTCAATGTCTGCACCAAGCAAAAACTTGCTTGCGAATTGCAAAGAAGCTTTCCGAGGTACTGTCTCTTTTATTCGAGGTTCAACGATCACGTTGTCAGTTGGCTCAGAGCAAGAGACCGGGACTCTGTGCTGTCATGGTTCACAATTTGATGTGTCGACGAGAATGGCTTTTAGAAATTGCTTCGTGCACCGAACGCCACGACCTGCAGACAGTCTGACGCAAGTGGGCATGGAAGTGCCAACAAGCTTGGTGCGCAGGGAACAACAGACCAAATTAAGAGAATTCCAATGCGCGGATTGAGGCTGTTGCTGGCTTTCATGCGTGCACCGAGCATTATACTGTCCTTCACCAATTCTTGATCCGGGTCACCTTTCCAGGAGACTGTCCCGGGACTGGATCTACGCGAATCCAGACTGATATCGCAAATCCTAGTTGAGATTCCCAGTTATCGAGTCCTGAAGTGTCCCGAAATGCAACACTAGCCTCAATATCGGAGAGCTGGCAACCCATCCGCCGGTTACACGATGAATTCAAGCTAGGACGACGGGTGTCGAGCTTACTGTCGCACCACGAGGTAAGAAGATCCGCTGTCGCATCATATCAGCATCCAGGTTGCCCCGTACGTCTTCTCGATGTCACTCACAAGTGGCCGCCGGTTTCAGCAGCGTTGAGGGTCGGGAATTTGAGCGACGAGCCCAACGACAAGAGCGTGGATCGAGCAACCGCAGCCCTGGAAAGAGTTACCGACCAGCTCGGGACTGTGAGCAGCTGAGATCATGGTCATGCTGATATGCGCATCGCCTTATAAGGCTGGAGTGAGAAGGCTTGCGAGGTTGAAGTTGAGATCCTTCCAGGAAAACGCACCGACAGCCGTCACCAAGAACGGGTGAACCAAATGGCCGGGTACAAGCCCTAGAGAAACTGTCCTACACTCGGGCTGTAAGCCAGCAGATTTAGACCACCTACTCCGCGCTCGAGGAATTCCAGTTGACGCCGATATTGACGCCATTGCGCCACTACCAGGATACAAATAAGAGGTACTCCTGTGCCCAGGCAGTTGGCTCTTTTCACAATCAGAACTGCAGTACAGCTCCGTTACAGATGACATTTCGCAATCAATCGCTCAAAAGCAGATCGGCAAGCACCCGAAGGATGGTGGCCACGCGTGCACAAGTCCAGGTGAATGGACAGCCCATGCATGATGTTGCACAGGTCAGTGTTCTACAGCATGGTCGAAGCAATGTCGATGATTCTGGCGAAGATAAACGTTGCACAGACGGGGCAAATTACACACCTTAAGGAGAGATCGATTGTCTTGCGTGCATAGGACAGGCATGTTGCACCTTAGACTCCTCTGGCTCGTACGGTGAAGGTTTGCTGTCGGAACCGTTTGTTTCGTCGTGGAGCTTGAACAGAAGATCAAGGCAACCGGCACTACAAGGCGCGCCGTGGTGCTGGAGGTCAGGGCCGGGATAGATTTGCCCGAAAGAGGAACAATCGATAGATGGCGAAACGTGGGTCCCGTGGCGTCGAGCAGTGGCCAATCACAGCCGTCCAGTGGGTCACATCCGTTATCGCCGTACCAAGTTTGCGCTAAACCCCTTGTGGCAAGGCTGTCCGTGCAGCCAGCCGGAGAGTTGTGCATTCTGACGACCTCTATCGTCTCTCGCTCCATCTACCTTCTTGTTCGGATCCCTGGAGCGCCAGTCAAGTCGGGCCTGGATCTGGCTCGTTGGGCTTCCTTCTGCCGATTCGTCCCCTACTCTTTTGGGGCTCACCCATCAGTCCTTCTGCGTGGCAAGGTCTGGAGGTAGGTTGCTCGATAACCTGTCACGAACCACTGCGATCACCCCCGTCGAGGATGGGCCGTGCAAGCTATGCCCCGGTACCTGTGAGGCCGTGCTAATGGCCGCTGGGATTCAAGTACCTTGTCCGAGCTGTCCTCAGGTTGCGTATCTTGGCTGATAGCTCTATACACCTCTCCAATAAGCGGTGGGGTTCACAATTGGCCACGGGCACAGACCCTGCGTGCTCTACACCCATTTGAGCTCTCTTCTCCCTTGACAACATCATCAAACCCCCTCTGGTCTCCCCAATTCCACAGCCCTTGCTGCAAGCTCAATCTTCTCTGTCCTTACCTGGCCTTCCTGCGATTTTGTTATACAGTCAGGTCTTGTCTTACCGCTATGCTGAACGTCGCTTAGCCTCGGTGGTGTGACTTGACCCATTATCTTTGTTTTTGCTTGCATTTTGCCCTGTTCGGGAGATCTTCGAGATCCGCCGTCGATATTTATATCAGCGCCATTTCGCCGTCCCTGGCATCGATTGTCGAGAGGCGGTACTTGGCTTCTGCACGCTTCCATTGACATATGTCGCTTGGCCAGTGTTGGTGGTCGTGACTTGCAACTGAGAGACTTTGGGACGGCTTTCGACTCGGCCTTCCAAAGGAAACCGCTCGGATCCTTTTTGGTTGTACATATACATCGCCATCCCCTTTGACCCTCCACTCAGCTTCTTTCTCAACTCGGCTGGGATGGGGTCATTCCTGGACGGGCGAAATCTGCTCTATGCAGGCCTTGCTGTCTGCGTCAGCATCATCACCTATCTGAGCCTCAGTCAGCGGCAGAAGGAAGTCGTCTTTAGAAGATTGCGGTTACGAGGTCGTCGTACGTCAAGTGCAGATACGCCACCTCGATCTCTCTCGCCAGAGAAGAAGGTACCCAACAACTCGCCACCGAAGTCATCCGAATATGTCAACACCTTCCCACCTCTGACCAGAGAGAACCTTTTGCTAGCCGCTGCCTCTCTACCCGAAGATCGCCGCATGGTCTTGCAAAATTCCACTTTCGACGAGAAGAACTGGACTAAATCTATTCTCGGATTTGACGAGGACTTCCGCAAGGCTGATCCCAACAAGTATGTCTACACTGGCTACAAGATCCAAGAAATTCGAGCGCTAGGAGACTTCCCCGACTATTCTGTCCTCAGCGATGTTCCGCTTCCAAAACCATACCATGAACATGATATCAACAAAGCTCTTCCACGACCATATCGACCATTCCGATGGGCGTACCATCAAACCATGTGTCGGTACCCCGTCCTTTGTTTTTATAATACGTAACTAACCCTCTCTGCTCGCAGCACTTACCAAGATGGAGCCAGACTGGTGGCTGGAACTTGAAAACACATATGTGGCACGAATTGCTCAACGCAAGCGGCTGTATGCCGAACATGGCGAGGCTGTGCTTCAGTGGCTCCCCGGCTCCGAACTAGCCTGTAAAGAGCTCATGGAAATGGCGCTCCAGTTCCTTTGTGCACGCTATCCCCAGTATTTCCACCTGCACTCCGACAAGAAGACATTCGAAAACAAAATTCTCGGCACAAAGCAGGACGTCTCAGCCAAGCATCCTCTTCTGGTCCTGTTGGACAACGTCCCCGAGGACTTTGCCATCACGTTGCGTAACCCCGAGACCGGTTACTACCATTTCCGCGCGGGGATGATCTGCTCGGCCTTGGGCTGGAATGTCGGAACCAAGATTGGATTGCAGTTGCACCAGATCCACGCGCCGATCCCCGATTACAAGGAGAAGATGCAGTTTAGCATGGATAGGTAGGCTGGGCTCCGAGCCATGACGCATATCCTCATGTATCGTTAACATTACCCAACAGATTCTTTACCAAGATGCCCGCACCGAGACCCATCCAGCGCGGCTCATGGGGCCTAGAAGTCGACCAGCCGCTCTACATGCCCCCAGGCGACCCGCACGAAAAGTACCGTGACTTCCAATCCCCTGACCTAGACCTCTCCCGCATCCACTTGCGCGTCGATTGGCAAACCCTGCGCCGCCTCCCTCTCTCCGGCGGTATCGTCTTCAACTTCAAAGCGCTGTTCACCCCCGTGGCCGAGTTCCGTGACGAACCCTACATCCCTAGCCTGGTGCTGAAGGTGCTCCGTGACGGCAAGGAGAATCTCATGAAGTACAAGAACACGTGGCACGTGGAGCATGTGGTGATTCCGGCGTTGGAGGAATACGAGCGTGAGCAGGTCCGGAAAGGCCTCGTTGAGAAGGACTGGCAGCATCACACACTCGACGAGAGTCCTTATTTCCCCGGCTGGAAGGAGAAGTGGGTGACGCAGCAGGGGTTCGGGGACGTGGAGTAACGCAACAAGGGGGAGGGCGCCAATAAATACAATGCAATGTGTCTCGCTTCGTGGAATGCCACTGGGAAGTAGGGATATAATTTTTTCACGAGTGCGAACACACAATCTCAAGAAAAAGGGAGGGCCCGACGCAAAGGAATAGATCCTACTCCATACTCACACCATACCAACACCTATACACCACCCTACACAAGCCGACCCGATCTAATTGAACGACATGAACCAGCACCAGAATTTCATCCAACACCACCGAAAACAGCACAACGATATAGAGCTCGTCATCGACATCCCCGAGGTCCGGACGGAGGTTGAAATATCCCGTATTTTTCCCTTCGTTTTCTTTCTTTTTCCCGCGACCGACCTACATAGTAGCATAATCCGCCTGTAGCTAACTCCCACCTTGCATTCATATATACTTCTGCATCTGGACACTGGATAGGCATTCAGCGTCTACATGTATCTGGTTGATTGATTTGGGTGTCTCTTTTTCTTTTTCCTTTTTCCATTCCCTTGTTTTCTGTCCCCTTTTTCTACAACTTTGTTTTCCGAGCTAGGGTCCTCGATGGCGACTTAGGCCGGTCGGGTCGCGATGAGCGCCGCAGTGCGAATCTGAGACGGGCCATGGGCACCGATGGGATAGGATTCGGATCACAGACCCGCTCCAATGGCCAGCTAGCTGCCGAGCTACTTAGTTCCATAGCGAGATAGTTATCTACTCGTGCATAGTAGCTCTTCGCTATGTAGCGAGGCGGTTTGCGCCCGCGTCGATCAAACGTCAGTGATGGTTGCTCGACGCCAGATGCGAAACGAGAAACCAACCACGAAGCCAATCCAAAGAACGAGGCATGTGATAATAAATCAATAATCACGACCCCGGATTCCTCCTCATATGTATTTTATTTTGAACACGCCGAACTGTGCTTCGTGTGTTACCATTTTCGTTCAGGAAGGGGAGCCATGCCGCTTCACTCGGGCATGTGACGGAGCGTAAAGGGAGCCGCGCAGAGTGCGGGGAGGAGCACGCCCGAGCACTAGGCGAGCCACAGGGAGTGCTGCCCTGATGCCAACGCGCAGAAGCCAGTTCGGGCTCAGAGGTCTCCTTTTTGGGCCCTCGGTTACAATCGCCCAAGCTGTTCACCTCATTCGTTTCGGCCAAACCCGCTGCCTGGCAACTTTCGGTCTTTCATTGTGACGCGTCTTACTCAATCCTGGCATTGGATAGGCAGTACAGTCGTTCTCGAAACTGCCCTCCCCTTCTTCTGTAGGTCCCCTAGCGGAGGAGGAATCATCTGACGAGGAATGTATACGCTGCCAAAGAGAGAAGCTGAACTGTGACTGGTGCAACCATGCTACTCAAGTGTTATGGCGCAAGAAGAGACTAAAAATGCGGGCTGCAACTATCGGGTTTGACACGAACAACCCAGGCGAACAGAATATTCGGGAGAACTATTTTGGCAGTTCCTATCCCCTACGGGGTGCACTCCATAACAGCCCAGGCATTTCGGTCTCACCTGGGGAGCTATTCCGTCGCTCGTGGTCGCCCGAGGAGTACTCACTTTCTTTTCATGATCATGCCAGGTGGGCCATATCCTTGACATCGGTAGCATCTCTTCTTTTCGATCCGATAGTGTTCAATGCTCCTTTAATATCGCGGACTGAATACTAGCCCATTGTTCACGACCTATTCTGCCGCGTCCGGCGTGTCCAGCCATATCCCCAATGAGGCGTTCATGCTCAGCAGCTTGTCGGGCGTCTTCATCCATACAATCTCGTTAATGTGGAACCATTTCATGGCCAGGTTATTCTCTTCCATAATCTTCTGGATTCCGTCTTTTCTCATTTCCGGGTGAAGAAAAGTCCACCGTGGGTACGCGGTGAGCCACCACTCCGTACAGTGCTTTTACCAACTTCGAACCATCGCCTAACTCTTCGAGCCATTCGGTATTGGTTCGGGTTGTTTTAGTAGATTGATGGTCTTTAAATCGGATGATATATTCTGTTTTGGTTGTTCTCACTGCGGCTAGATGTACGTCTTTGGTTGTATCGACATTCAGGAGCGAATTCCGGATGTAGGTGTTAGCCGAGTCCGTAGATAGATATCTTGTAAACTCTATCTCGGTGTCCTCACCGTTGGCGAGCCTAGGTTGTGTGCTGATTCGGACATAGTTGGGGTTTTCCTTCGGATTCCTAGTCTTTGTCGATCCTGATAGTTCGTCTCGGTTCTGGCTGTTCCACCGCTGGCAGCCATACATGCCCATGATCTAGGGGAGGGAGTAGAACCAGCCGGGATAGAGCCAGAATAGGCACTGAGTTGTGTGCGCATGGATCGGATTTCATCCTTTAGTTCAGTATTCCGGTTTTTGAAGGCTTCCTGTTCAGATTTGATCTCTTCAAGGTCCGCTTTCAGATGCTCAATTGTGTTGCCTTCTTTAATGTTGATCTCCTTCATATCTGCGGCGAGTCCCAGACTATCATCAAGACTGGTGTCATTTTCATCATTTCTGCTAGTAAACTCGAGCATAGGGGGACTCCTTGGTCGCGGTGAATGAATTTAAGCTGTTCCTTTGTCCTTTTAGATATCCCCTCGTGATCCTTTTGGATTCTGGCGGCGATGTTGGAGATAGCGACACCACCTGGTGAGAATTGAGAGACCAAGCGGCGCACAGACAGTGGATTGAATGGTTCATACTGCATACCCTACCCGTGCCAATACCGTGCACGTGACGAGGCTATCATAAATGCAATGGAACGCGTGTAGTGTGTACATTGATTGCTATCCAACCCCCCCTTTTTCTCCCTTCTCTTCTTCCTTCCTCCAATACCCTCCTGGGCTTGTGGAATCCCCATTTCCTGGTGCTATCAATCCCGCTCTAAAACCTTTTCTCGTAGCGTTCTGTCTCACCGGCTCTAGAATCCACTCTACTCGTGAATGTTTGATGGTGGTTTTCATTTGATCATTGAGATGTTTATATACCTTTGCTGGGATGCTAGATGGTTGTGAGATGAACCAAGCATCGAGTTAATGACCAGACAACCTTGGGGGAGAGGGGCCCAGATTTCTACAACCAGGCTGTTGAAGACCCATGCGGAACGGGCATGCTCAAAGGAGTTAATGTTGGCACTGTCCAAACTATATAGCACGCCAAAACATCTAGCTGAGAGCAGCTACCGCTGTCAAACATCTAGCTCCTGCGACTAGCATAATAGATCTCACAAAGAGTTTCGTTCTTTGGAGGCACGGCTTTTTAACTTCACTAAAGCTTCTTTTCACGTACTGTAAGGCTGGTTCCCTCTAGGCTTCTGCGACCAGACCCCTTAAATGAACCACGACGACCTTGTCTATCTCTCTTCCAAATATTGAAAACATCAACAGCAATCGCTTTGAGACTTGTTGTCGGGGGGATGATGTTAATGTTGACGTTGATGTTGAATTACGGTGGTGGTCCTCAGCGAGTCAAGTGAGCCTCAACCCGATTTGATGCTGACGGTGGCATTTCTGAAGCCTAAAAACTCTCCCCATTCCCATTGATTAACTCGCTGTCCTGCCTTTTCAGTGCGAAGGGGTGAGTCAATAGGGGCACTGTGTACCTTAATATACCTTGCAGGATTATTATTCGTCTTAATCAACCTCCACAAGATAATCACCGAAGGCGGAAGGGTAACTATGACGCCAACGATAGCAACAATGGCTTCGAGTGATAATGGGGTCATTGTCGTTCATGGGTTATTTTTGGTTCAGCGGGAAAGAGAAGGATTTTGATGTGGAGGGTCTCCGTACACCTGCTCGGGTAGGGTCTCGCCAGAACGCTCCGTGGGGAGTGTTTTGCTTGTGGGAGGTCCGCACTGATATGGATTGTAGACTCGCCCAGAATCTTGTGTCCTTGACTCGCGACGGACCCGGCTGATCAAGGCCCACTCTGGGCTTCGTTGCTCCCAAAAATCTGTTGGGGGTATTTGGCAGTGATGCCTGGCGTGCGCGGTGAGCCGTGAAGGCTAACCCCCTCAGGCGTATGTCTTTCCTCTTTGATGATAAGGTTTCCAAAGTGCCCGTTTCGAATTCCCAATGCTAGCAGTCCTCATGTATACGATTGGGAACTTGGTTCGTATTCTATTGACATGCTACGTTACGGCAGGAGGCCCCGGGCGGATCGTTGTGGCGCTCGCACAAGATTTTGGGCTCTGGCAAATGAGATCAGTGGGTTGCCTGGATGGGCAAAAAGACTCTAGGTCACGACAGCTTGTCCTTGATGGCCAGCATTGCGTTGCATCCGAAGTTTAGACCCTCCCAAGATTCTGGCATCTAGCAACGGGTGTCACCGTTTGGCTGATGAGGCTTTCAAATTTGGGTTTGGACAGCCCTCAGATCCTGGTTCTTCCAGTCTTAGTAGCTATCCTAGCATCCGACGGGAATATATGGACCTTCCCTGGACATTTGGGGTTAGTCAATCGGCCTTTCTGAGCGTGGCGCTGCTAGGGCCTTTATAAGGGTAAGATTTTGGTCAGAGAATCTGCTGGTGATGATCGAGGCTTCCCAAAGGCTCAAGTCTCATTAAATCCCAGCGAAAGTGTATACAGGACCGGGTTGGGACACGGAGTGGAACGAAGATATTCCCCCAGCTCCTCTTTTCCTTCTATTCCATCCCAGAGACACTTAGAGAGCAACAATATCGAGCCTTTTGTGCTTGGCAAGGAGCCAGCGTGTCGTTCCCTTTTTCTGTTTCCTTTAGATATCCAAGAAGGATATCCAGTTCATAGTGTTTGTTTTGCACTACTTATTTCCTTTCAGCACGCAAGGCTTCCTCTGTTTGTTGCCCTTTGCTCTGTTTTCTTGTCCTCGATGGATAGCCACCCAAAAGTGAACGACCTAGCACCACCACAGTACAACGATCTCCTGACTTGGGACAACCTCCCAAGCCCGCAGGAATTCAAGCCCAGCGTAGTACGAAGCGCGCACCGAGGGATCCGGTCGGTCATGTCTTGTAACCCTCGCTGTTCCTTAAAATTCATTACCAGTGGGCCCTAAGCTATATAGCCATCACCTGCCGAGCGTAGTAAGCCTCCAGAAGGCGCAGCGCGGCGATGTGACCATTCTCAGAAGCAAGTTCTCGTGCTCTTGCGTACTGTTCACTCCCTTGTCCGATGAGTTGCGCTCCAGCATCCAGGAGGAACTGTAGCATATCGATCCGACCATGTTCAGCCGCCCCTTCAAGTGCTGTTCTCCCTCTTACCTTCGCGGGCGAAGCGTCGATGTTAGCTCCCTTCGCTAGCAGTATAGTCGCTATCCCGATGTCTCCGTTGATAGCAGCAAATTGAAGCGCAGTTGCTCCATTTCGACCACACGGAGGTGCATTCACATCTGCACCTTGCTCCAAGAGTATATCTATAATATCCGTTTTGCCTCGCTCAACTGCCCGTTGCAGCGGCGTAGCCGACATTTGCTTGACGGGTGGCAGATTCACATCTGCTCCGGCAGCTATTCGCATTTTGACAAGTTCCGGTCTCTCCTGGTTGATGGCTGACAGAAGAGCGGTATTATCTCCAGTGTCATTCACGATCTTGTTAGGATCCGCACCGCGGTGCAAGAGCATCTGGATCACCCATAGGTCCTTGCTCTTGTCAACCCTGATTGCTGTTCCAAAGGCAGACTCTCTGTGCCCCTCAACAGAGGAGTGGACAAAATTCTTGTATTCTCCATAATGGAACCTGACGATGGTGTTTGGATTCACGCCACTCGATAGTAGCGCTTCAATCATGACAGCATTTGATGATGCGATAGCATGCTGCAGTGTTGGGCAACCAAATCCTGTCGAGAAGTATTTATACCTGGCTAACCTGGCTGTTAGCAGTGTTTGCATCACCTCTACGCTCTTGTAAACAGCAGCAGTCAAGGACTGCTCATTCGGGTCCGCCCCCAGGTCAAGGAGAAAGTGGACCATGTTGATGTCATTGTTCCGAACAGCAGCTGAAAGAGCTGTATGTCCAAAATAACTGGCAGCTGAAGCATTAACGTCCGCACCAGCATCAATCAAAAGCCGAATGATGGTCGAGTCACCTCGCTCGACTGCTATCGTGAGTGCCGTTTTGCCTTTTTCCCACGCAGGCGCGTTAACATCACCTCCTGCAGCGATTATGTCTCGGATCAATGGGTGATGACCAAATTCCACTGCTGCTGGTGGTGCTGAAGTTGTACATCTGTCGTCAATGCCTTCATAATTAGTTATTGTCGTGTTAACCTCTGCCCCAGCAGCTAAGAGCTTTTGTGAAAGGCCAGCATCCTTCTGACGTATTGCCTCCAAAAGGGGAGTGCTCTTTGTCTCAGTGTTCCGGTCGTTTACGTCTGCACCAGCCGTAAGAAGTAACGTAGTGACGTCGCTTTTGCCCCGGGCAATGGCTAAGCAGAGAGCGCAATCTAAAGACTCGATAGCGGTAGCTCGGTATTTCGACCCATCACTGAGAAGGAGACGAAGGACTGAAATGTCTCCCCTAGAAGTAGCTGCCTGGATGGCCGCAGTCAGCCCGGGAGAGCCTCGAAGTTTGGCGCCAGACGTAGATAGAGTGTCAATCAGATCTTTTTGTCCACGTCTTATAGCTGCGGTCAGTCCATCACTGAGGCTGCTTTCCTTTATGCTGTCTTCTGCAGAGTCAAGCAGGTGCCAAAATATTCCCCATTTACCAAGGCGTGCTGCCGCTTTGATTGCTTTCTGCGTGACTCGAGCTGAAGAGCTGAGGAAGAGATTGACGATGTCCAAGTCGCCCACCTCCACGGCTCCGACCAACGCGGATTCGGTAACATGTGCTCCCCTCTCCAACAGTATTTGGATCAAGTCGACGCTGGAAGAGCTCGATGCCGCCTCCAACACAGTTTCTGGTTCTCCGTCGTAACCAGGAGTAACGGCATTCACATGAGCGCCGGCCTGAAGTAGATGGCGAACCGTCGAGATAATATCGGATATAGGCCCAACACTTCGCACTGCCGCAGCGAGTGGAGTAGTGCCGGAATGGTCATCTGAGAAATTTGGATCTGCCCCCGCAGAAAGAAGGACAGCAACAAGTTTCGAAATGCATGATGATGCAACCTTTGTCAGCGGGGATTCATCTGGGGGATTGACATTGGCGCCGACGCGAAGGAGAACTTGTACCAGCTCAATATCATCAATGTCGCTATTCTCAATGTCATCAATGTCGCTATTCTCAATGTCATCAATGTCGCTATTCTCAATGTCATCAATGTCGCTATTCTCAATGTCATCATCGTCGCAATTCACGACTATTCGTTTAATTAGACAGCTCAGAGGAGATTCAGTGTTTCGCAATGAGCTGTTGACGTCTGCCCCAGCATCCAACAATACTGCACAAGCTCCAGGCTGCGCAGTTCGCAAGCTCGTTGAAGCGGTGAGCTGACACCAAGAATTAGACCATCTCAACTCATTGGGATCAAGACCAGAATCTAATATCCTCTTGACAGTAGGGGCATCCTTCTCCTCCATCGCGAGAGAAAAGAACTGCTCGGCAAGGGCTTCGGCCGTCGGCCCGCCAACGGATAAGAGATATTCAAGAACCCCGACATCCGAACGGCGTTGGATCCAGTTATAGACGTTTTTGCCAATATCCGAATTCAGGGTAAAGACCTTGTTCGAAACCATGAACAGAGTGAGATTTAAAAAGTCCACTGCGGGTGATGAGTGTTGCGGTAAGGTCATCTGCGAATTTGCGGTGCCGCAGGAAAATAGATTTTCTGGGATCCACGCATTGAGGTTTCTGCCGAATGCTGTCAGAGGGCCTTCTCTGTCTGCTCCTTTCTGGAAGTGATCAACAATGCTCGTTTGAAGATCCGGCAACCTGACAGCGGATGTTGAACTGTTGCTCTCGGGGCTGCTTGCCTGCAGAGGGTCTGCAGACCAAGATTGGTAGGTCCCTTTCAAGTTCAAGTTAGGTTAAAGGGCTCATTGGTTGTTATCGAAAAACATTTTGGTTCCAAGGAGTCCCCCCCTAGTAACCACGGAAAAAGCATGATCACGGATCCACGCACCTTGTATGTTGACTGCCGATTTGAAATGCATGAAGGGGAGGGAGCTTATCAAAAAAGTCGTGTGATTCGCTAGCGTTGGTGTGACAAAGACAGGTGCTGGAGAGGTTCTTCCCGCAGCGGGAGTAGGAGGAGAAGGCAACGGTGTACGAACGGTAATGTCCCCTGGTGTTTGGGGTGATGATGCTGGTGCTTTGGATGAGCGGTGATCTGGGATACGGAGGGAAAACAATGTGTTTATACCTTGAAAACGCATTCTTGAGCCAGAACCATACCGTGACATAGCTTTCTGGACTTTCTCTGGGTTCATGGGTAGCCCATTAATGTACACCTCGGTCTCTTTGTGGTCTCTTTCCCGTTTTTGAATTTTGTGTGTGACGATAGCCCATTCTTCTTTGGTTAAGTTTTTTCGGACGTTCCATCTTCTGAAGGCCGTTCGTATTGCGCCTTACTTCGGAGACTCAACTGATAGGCATAACTAGAACAGGGTGGATGGCAGTCGGAGCTTACGTCGCAGTGAATTGGTATTTCGTCTTCATCTCTTCCATGACTTTTTCCAGACTCTGATCTTCAATCAGGTACAACGTGCAAATCGTGTCCCTAAAGGGATCCCATAAGGGATCCCATTTTGGATCGGTGGCATTCACGTCGGCGTTCAAACCAGGCATCTTTCTAACCTTTGGAGACAAATCTGAGCTGAAGGAGGTTGGAGGTGAGAAGTGGGATAGAATGGAAGAAGCCTTGCCCTTGGCTTATATAGGGCTCCCGTGTGCCACGGTTCCTGCTGTCCTCTCCAGGGCCTGAGATGCCGCTAGGAGGAACGATTCTGTGTGTAGCTCTAGTTTTGCCTTGCGCCACTCACATTGATGGCGTCTGATTGGATGCGTCCAGAATCTGGTGTGCCCAAGTTGCCTTGCATTAGCGCCGAAGGCGTCTCCCAAAATCTTGTTGCTCCCTCTCCTGTCATGGGCGGGATTACCTCAGGACAGCAATTCGCACAGGGATTGGTTAGCCGAATGGGCATAGAGGACGATTATTCGGGGATATTACATGTATGTACGTATATGTATATATATACATACATACGCCTGTACTTGAATTAAGTCAATTTGAATCGTCACACCTCCCCGATCTGTCCATCGAATTACAGTTTTGACGTAATGTAAAGATCCTCCTCCGTTTGGAATCCTTGAGACGGCTGCAATTGGGCTACCGTAACTAGCCAGGTCACACGCATCGACGGCTACATACTACTACAGTTTCGAGGTCACCAGCTGCCAATTCCAGGCTTATCGCGGACTTTCGTCCCCAGCAAGAAAGAATATGATGGATAGTTCTGGAGCAGAAGCTCACAAGAGCATCGTCCTCGACCTTCCGGCATCTTTCGAGGTCAAAGTGGAAGATGTCATTTCTTTCAGCTTAGAGGACGAGGAGTTTAAGAAAACCGCCGCAGCCCGCACTGGTGCAGGGATCCTCCTCGTGGCCAAAATATGTGACGCCCTCCTGAGTTGGGGCGGCTACAGTGACGAAGACATCCGTAACGTCGCGGGCCTCGTCGCGAGGAACTTGATCACTTGCGAGTCGTCACACGTCAAAACTGAGCATGAGATGAACAACGACGAGAACAGCAACAGCAACAGCAGAGGCAAGGGGACGGGGGTTCTAGGGAAGACGGTCGAGTCTATGCTGAAAGGACTCCTTGATCCTAACGTCCCGCGGTCAAAACACCTGCACATCAACTCCAATGAACCCGTCTTGCTGGTCAATTTCGAGCAACTTCTCCACCCGGAGAACAGGGATTGGGTCAACGATGTGATTGACACAGCGGTCCTGCAGCTTCAACAGCAGTGGAACATCTGGCCCGTTCGTGTATATGCCCATGCCAACCCGCTCACGCCACGAAAAGTAGCTGGGGGTGGCGGGGCTACTCGCCGTGGCGATACCCTTGGAGATGCATTTTCCATAACATTGCTGAATGTGGTAAATACAGACATTGGCGGCCCGAGTATGCCCCAGCTACTCGACGCTAAATGTGATGCTGCAGAGTGGAACGGGTATGTGAGGAGGGAGGTATGGAGGGGACGAGAAGTCGTGGTTCGTGAGGAGGGCGAGGGAAATTGGGGTCAGCGGGAAGTTGCTGCTGTGGATGCCGATAATGCGTCCGAACGATCTTTTAGGAGTGAGAATGATGACGACGATGACAAGTCTGTGGGCTCAGACGCCCTCAACTTGGTGAATTTGAAGAGCCCAGGGCAGCCTGATTCGCCAGAACGGGAGGATGGAACAGCCGCTCAGCACGCGGAAGTAACTCCGAAGACAGGTGCTCGTGAAGATACTCCTCTCTTAACCCACCTCGAGGAGGATCAAGTCCGGGGCGATATGGATGACGGCAATGATAATGATCAGGATGTTGCTCAAGCGACGACCCAGAAGCAGCCACTGCCACAGGAGTTCGAAGTGCCTGAGAGACACATAAAACATCCGACATGGGAACGCCACGATGACGGCACGTCTCTGATCGACCTCATCAGATCCCAGGTGTCCATGATCGTGCCATTCGGGACGGAAGATGCAGGACATGATGTCGGCGACATCGAGGCTGATGTGGCCAAGTCGAGGTCAGAGAAGGCCGAGTCATCGTCCCCCAGCGACGACGAGTTTATCGTCGTTTGAAGTCAAGCTTCAATGTGATTTCAAGCTCCGATGTGAGTAATGCATGCCTTTTGGTCGTGCTTGTGTTCAATCACTGGTCGAACGACTCCTGCTCCTGCTCCTACTCCTGCTCGACGACCTGGGACTCCTCCCATTCTCAGAAGCTGTCCCGTTTCTTTCCATATCTTCCCCATCTTCCATACCCTCATCCTCATCTCTCTTCTCGCCATTTTCCTCCTCTTCCATGGCATCCAGTTCCGCCTGCATCGGACTAACCCGCTCATTCAACTGTTCCAAATCCTCCAACAACTGCCTAGCAGGCAATTTCCATAAACTTGTCCCGCACACTCTATCCTTCGTGAGCAGATTGTCCACGAACTCGTCCATGTGTATCAAGACATAAGATTCCTTCCTCCTCTGCCTTAATTTTCTCGAATCCTCTAGAAACGGTTCCAGAGTCTTGTAAATGTCTGCAGGCTCGAATGTCAAGCGGACATAGAATGCTGCTAACGCTCTCAGATATTTCCACTCCTCTCCTCCATTTTGTAGGTATTCGAGCACAATCTCTCGGTCGGGGACGAGCGTCAGGAGTTTAAATGCGAGGCAGATGAAGGGCGTGGGTTTCATAGCTACGCCATAAGTACCGCCAATGTAGCTGAGTTCGACGGCTCGATCGCACAAGGTAGCTGCGTTCAGGCCAAAACACTGTTCTTTCCAGTAAAGGGAGTCGGTGATGCGGTCGCGCATGGCTGTCTCTAGGAGGAGTGCAGGATTTTGGCCTCGCACCAGAGGACCGCTGTAGCCGCGGTTATCGAGGGTGTTGGAGGCATCGGCGCGGTGCGTCATTGCCACTCTTTGTTCAAGGATGGGACGAAGGATAGCAGGAGTCTAGCGGTCATTAGCACGTTGGATATTGCGCGGAGAGTGAGCGGCGTGAGTGAGTTTGGCGCATGCAAAAATGTTACTCACTCGGACTTGCAAGGCTGGCATCAACGTCACAGAACAACGAGGCTGAAAGTGCTCGTGACTCGGCCCTTTTCGGATTAGCGTGATTCATCCCTGTGCTCACGTCTGGCGAGCGGGCTCCTCTTCAGCCTCACCAGCCTCACCAGCCTCATTTCAGCCTTAATTGAGAACGCATGGAGCTATTACCAAAACGAATAGGCACCAGTGGGGGCTTACCGTACTTCTCAGGTCGACATAGCCCCACACAGCCACAATCAAGTATGGTGGCATCCTTCCCATATATTCCACGATGCGCCCAACAGGGCTTCATTGGTTCGTGTGGTGCAACGCATTCTGCTCTGATTTCACAGATGGTTGACCCAGTGAGTGCGATTGGAGTGGCAGGGAGCGTCCTGCAATTCCTCGACTTCGCTGCAAAAGTGGTAACCAAAGGGAATCAAATCTATCGTACTCGTGATGGGCTCCTGCAGGAACATCAGGATCTCAATCTCGTCACCTCAGACCTCTTGCTGATGAAAACGAAAATCGAAAAGCTCCATCCAGACGAGACAATACCTGACCAACTGCTGTCTGCTTCCGTGGAACTAGCCAGGCAACTCCTAACAAGACTCAATCAAGCCCAGGCGCAAGGCCGATTACGAAGATGGAAGAGCCTTCGCCAAGCAGTCAAATGTGTCTGCTCAAAGAAGGAAGTAGACGACATGGCGAATCGATTGGCAATGTTTCGCGACCAGATTACGTTACGCTTAATGACATCCGTGAGGTGAGCTAGTCGCCTTCTCAAACCCAGTGTCTCTGAGGCTAACGTGGAAAGCACGGAAACCAACCGAAACCTGCTGTGCCAGACAGAAGCAACAAGAAAGATTGGACAGCAAGAAAAGGCACTCGCGTCAATTCAAAACAGCATCGGTCAAATTAAATCCCAGGTCGAGGATGTGGCCCAAGTGGTGAGAAGAGAACACCTTGTCACGAACGAGTTTGTCAGCACATCTCTTGACAATGCAACAACAACACTCACGAAGCTCATCGAAGAATACGGCTTGAATTTGCAAAGAACACTTGAGTACCTGCAGACTTTAAGCCCACCACAAAACTTACCAGAAAAGGCCACAAAGCCATCCAACAACCCAGAAACCACCGAGATAGCCATATTACGAAGCTTCGCATATCAAAGCATGAAGGTCCGCACAGAGGCAGTCGCTGCTGCCCACGCCGAGACTTTCCAATGGCTCTTTCTAGGTTCAGAAGACGTCGAACGACCATGGGATGACTTCATCGAATGGCTCGAAACTAAGAACGACATCTATTGGATAACTGGTAAAGCTGCGAGCGGGAAGAGTACCTTGCTCAAGTATATCCTGCAAAACGGGAATACTCGACGGGGATTAGAACTGTGGGGAGGCGGCTCAGAAGTTGTGATAGCCAGCTTCTTCTTTTGGTCGCTCGGGGACAGCATGCAGAGATCACAGTGTGGCTTATTACGGTCGCTAATTTATAATATCTTGCAGCAAAGGCCGAGTATGATCAGCCAGGTCCTTCCAAGTCTGTGGCAACAACTGCATCACCAGCCGCTGGATTTCTTCAAATCATTAGGATCAGCGTGGCATGCGTGGTCCGTCAGCGAGCTCAGGGATATTTTGACCACACTAATCACCCAGAACGAAAGCCTGCTCAAATTCTGCTTGTTCATTGATGGCTTGGATGAATTTGACGGCGATCACCGCGAAATCGCCGATTTTTGCTGGCAACTGTCCCAATTTCCGCACGTCAAGATTTGTCTTTCTAGTCGTCCTCTTATGGTATTCGAAGAGGCTTTTAACAGCTACTCTCATCTTCGACTCCAAGATTTGACTCGGAAGGACATCGAAAGATACGTATTCGACAATCTTTCAGACCATCCAAGGTCCAAGGCGTCACATGATCTTTCTTCGCAGATTCTATCCCTGACAGATGAAGTGGTCAAGCGAGCTTCTGGCGTTTTCCTATGGGTGGTTTTGGTTGTGAGATCTTTGCGAGCTGGCATGACGAATCACGATTCGCCGTCTGACCTCGAACAACGTCTAAATGAGTTGCCACTGGAGCTTGATGGGATGTATTCCATGATCCTCGAGAAAATCGAACCTCATTTCTACCGACAGCAGGCATGCCGTTTACTCCAGTTGATGTATCACGCCAGAGGCTCACTTTCAATGCTGGAACTGTCATTTGCAGACGACCCCGATACAGAGATCCCCTCCAATCGTGATTTCTTCGCCATGTCTCCAGTTGGGCTCCAAGATCGAATTACTACAATGGGCGCTCGTTGCAAAAGCCGTTGTGGAGGCCTACTCGAGGCTGTTCCGTCTTCAAGATCGAGCGGACCGGGACGTCATGAATTCTGCCCGGATGTTAACTTTCTCCATCTGACCGTCCGGGAGTTCCTCGAGAAGCCCGAGGTATGGTGTCTTCTGTTACGCCATACCTCGGAAACTGACTTCAACGCAAATCGAGCACTACTTCGAAGCTCTATTGTAATGTTCAAACTTCATCAGAGCTCTCCAGCAGTCGAAAACGCCGGCTTTGGGGATAGGTGCACTTCCATGAACTCTCATTTCGACAACTCTATATTTTATGCTCGACAAGCGGAGGCCAGCGGTGGACAACCATTACTAACTCTGACAGATGAGATCAAGAACCTCGGTCAGCACACTCTCTACGCTGAAAAATCAGGTCCATCTCAACCGTTTATTGAGTTTTTGGTATCTAACGGTTTAGCTCTCTCTGTGAAAGCTAAATATGGTTCAAAGCTCCTCCCACTTGACCGGGCGTCTTCACGGCCCCTGCTTCAAACTGCCCTAAAGAATTTCATTAATATCCCTCGATTCGCCCCATCGATGATAGCTCTTCTTTTGCAGGCTGGCCTGGACCCAAATCGGCGGCTGTCCCGGAGTAGCCATACCGTATGGACTGATTTCCTGATTTCGATTGGCAAGGAAACAACAGGTGCAGATTGGATTGACAAGAAATCCGAGCTTCTCAGACCCTGCCTTGATATTTGCGAGCTATTTCTGCTTTACGGAGCAAACGAACGGCTTGACATGGGTCATAGCATAGGACAGTGTCGCTGCCAGGAAGGCGGTGATTCGATTTGGTATCGAACGGGAGGAAGCTCTGGCAAAGCCTTGTTTCAGATGCTGCTGTCTCTCTTCCCAAACGACAAAGCCAAACATTTAGAGAACCTCAGAAACCAAGCACAGAGTGCTGATTCTTGTCGAACGATGCCGAGACAGTACTCTGTTGGTCTCCGGCAAGGACCACAAGGCGATAACAATAATCCTCACTTACTAGATACCTCTTCTCAGGAATTTCGACCCGTCAAGATTCAGCAACGACGGAATGAAGGGACACCATATGATCCCCGAGGGAAACAAGGGTCATCATACGAGCCTCGTTGGAATCAAGACGTTCGTTTGCGGTACGGTAGGGGTTTTGATCACAGATCGGAGTGGAGCTCTCGGCCATGGAGAGCCGAACAGCGGGCTCCAATGCGGTCCGAGCATTTCAGTCCACGCCAAGCCAGCGACAGACATCAACAGAACTATATGCTTCCGCGACCTCGACAGCCCCTCTTTGTCTCCAACGATCCACGAAATGGAGTTCGCGACAAGAGCGATCATCATCACAGGAGGTTTGAGGAAGCCTCGACTGTCTCGAACCCAGGACGAGTGTCCTCTCCTGGAGGGGCGAGAAAACGAGGCAGATCTCCAAGCTTTTACGAAGTGGGGAGGCGCCAATCTAAGCGTCGGTGGTAATAAACATGTAATTTTCAAGACTTTGGGGATTTTCTTGTTTGATATTGGGAGAGTAGGCTGAAACGATCTCTCAGCCCGCGAACTCCCAAAGATTTGGCATAAACGACAGGAAAACGACGCTTGATAGTCGTCAAAGTGGCGGACCGAGGGGAGTTAAGGTGGAATCTTGAAGAAATCGTCAGGCCGTGTAGAAGTAACGGTCAGCGTTGCGGATCTCCCACATCTTTTCAGGTCCCGGTCCTCCAGAAAGTACTTTCACCAGGACCGTAAGTAGATGGGGCATAAAGAACTAGGAGGCCTGGTTAATGCAATACACATGCAATGGGCTTCAAATATGATGGCGCTCCCAGCGACACTAGCGTTAGTCTATGCAAGGTCAAATTAAAAGTTATTTGGTGTGCTCGCGCACCCTCGCAATGTCGTTTTTTATGCGGACGGACGATGGAAGAAAAAACAAAGGGTTCCCTAAGGAGTTGGCCTATATTATTGAACTCGAGGGTCATGTTAGCCCGACGAGGCTGAAAATGCTGATGAGTCGCCCCTTTTCCGGCCACGAGGCCTAGCGTAATGCCCGCCTGGCGGCCGCCCCAGCTCCCCCTTGGCTGAGGAGGACGGTGCCTTTTTGGGAGACCGCAGCCTTGGCGCGGCCAGCGGTGAGCAACCCCGGCCCTTATTTGTTAGCCACCAACACTGCCGTGACCGCCCTTTCTATACATATATTGCTAGTCTACCATGAGTACGGAGGTCTTTTCATTATCCCTCCAGTGCAGAAAACTCTAGCAGCCATGTTATTCCGGTCTCTCTATGAGGCCAATTCGCAGACTGCCAGTTGTTAGTGGCCACTTGATCAAGCATGCCTCACTCCTCACCTGGATAGATCTTGCCATGGGGCTAGCCAGTGTTGGGAGGACTTCAAAGAGCTGTGGAAGGGGATGAATTTGGACTCGCTGGCCCTAGCCAGATTACACATGAAAACGCATGCTGTGTTTGCCCTTTGCAGAGCCTTACCTTGAATGGGTATCTCCGGCGCTCTGGCTGTGGACATTTGCAGTTAATGGTTGTTGATCATTGCGCCTCAATAACGAATTCATATCGGCAGCGCTGCATCTCTTCCATCATCTACAAGAAACTTTTCCGTGCTTCGGTGAATGAGTGTGTCAAATGCATGATGTCGGATGCTCTCAGGATCTATCTGTCACCTTCTTTCTCGACCGTCTAGTGGTGACGACGGGCGAGAAACCGGGGAGCGTCCGCAACCCCATAGTTTTCGTTGCGCGTCGCGCAGCAGCCTCCCTGGGATAGGTTCTCGTCATTTTCGTGACGCTCATTGCAGGTTTTGTTATGGCCAGCGACTTCACTGGAGCCCTCGTCGTCATCATCCTTGTCAAAGCTCTCATTACCTTCGTCGTCGCTGCTTTCGAAATCCAGTTCATCAACCCACAATTGATCCCTATCTTCAGCGCTTTCCCGACTCTCGTTTGTCTCTTCATTGGGCTAGGCTCCTGGAACAGGATAGATCCGTTGAACAGGATTGTACTTGACCACAATGCCAAGATCGCGAGGATTGTTTGCCTCAGTTGGGCGAGCGTTTTCCCAACACGTCAAACCAACGTACCATTTCTGGTCGAGGAAATGCTCGGGGAACGCCTCTGTGTGCTGTGGAAGTACGTAGCACTCAATTAATCTCGTTGCACCAAGCTTGCACCGTGTGGTGAAGTACTGGCGAATATCCACTCTTCCCCTTCCCAACGTTTCCAACCAAAGTTCCAAGCTGCTCGTCAAGATTTTCAGTTGCCAGCTGAGGCTGCTAGATGCGGCACTTGAATACATAATATTGAATACTAAACTCGGCGGCGTACATGATTGGCGTCACCGTGCTCGGAGAGTTTGCAATTTCGTTCGCCCCTACTTGTACCAATTGATCCAGCTTTGTAGGACAATTTGTAAATAATCGTCTTCGACATATGGTGGACGAGAAAGTGGACGGTGTAAGACGGTAGATTGATAGCTGTCGTGGATTTTCACCAATCTTGACAAATCGCTGGCATTTGAGAAAACGGTGTAGATTCTGCGAATATTCGAATTCTTTACGCGACACTGCGTCATGGCCATAGACATGTAGAAAAGGTCTAACTCCAGGCCCATGAGATTGATTCTCTCAGATGCAGTCACCCAGAGGAAATCTTCCGGCGTACTCTGGGACAGATGACCAACTGTCATATTAGTGACTTCATTAATGCAATCCGGATCGTGGCCTGAATATGGTGACCATCCAAAATCGATGCAGCTTCCGCCGTGCTCGATGAGAACACGGACAGTATCCAGATTGAACATGGGTAGTAGATCTTTCCAACATATTCCACTCAGCCGGGCAAATGCCCAGTAGGGGACCCATGGGTCTGCATGCGCCATGAGAGCCGTGACCGAAGCCTCTGGAAGGAGAGGTCCCGCCAGAGCAAAATGTAGAGCAGTTCTAAAGGGATGATGAGTCAAGTCAAGTGGGACAAGGTATTTGCCATACAATGGAACAGTAGCTCGTCGTTGGTAATTCTGCGGCGCCAGCATCAAGAAGAACACGACATGTATCGGCTTGCTGGTAGTAGGCTGCAACCTGCAACATAATGGTGATCTGTGGATTCGGCCAACAGTAACTGGATCTCATAACTTCGGTTCGCGGTGCAAATGAACTCTGAGGGTATTTTCAAAATACCTTACCATCAATGGGGTCACTCCATCATATGTGACGTCCGACGGTAGAGACTTTCTATCGGCAATGAGCCTTCGTACACCCATTGCGTCGCCAGTAGCGCAAAGGTGAATATCTCTGCATCAGGTCGAACAAGACGATCGACCTGTAGCGTCATCTGGATCCCTTTGGTACTATGATGGGCCATGAGAGCCACCATGCTGTTGAAAATCCATGAGCCAAATGAAATAGTCATCTCAAGGTCGTCCCCAGGGGCACTGTTGTCGGCTTCAGGTTGTTGGGGAGAGTGCTTGCTCCTGACAAAAACGTTTGCTATTCCCAGATTGTACGTAGAAATCCTGTAACTTGATTTCGCAGTTTCTCGGGTTCGTGACAGTCGATTTGAGACTGGCCGATTTTGTGACGACGGCAGCAATTTCTGAAGGCCCTTCCCCTGCGTGCTGTTTGAGGATCATCCCACTCCCCGGCACACAATGATTCGAACTTCGATCCGTCAAAATGGCAAGGGCGAGTGTCGACTTGGCTCTCTCGCGAGAAGTCTGCAATCTTGCGAGTCGCTTCCGCTTGGAGGCTGCCTCGACCTTAGCCCAGTTTATCCATCGCCTTGAATTTGAACTTTTGCATCGTGGTCTCGAGTTCACAAGCGATGTTGCGGAGGATCTCGAGGACTTTGAAACAATAGCCCAGAGCTTGCTTCTGCACCAGCGTCGGTGCCAAACAGGCTTCAAAGTCCGCTCCAGGAAGACTATGATAGCTGGTGAGAACGTTGTCTAAGAGATCGACTTCATCAAGAATCTCACGGATTTCTATGGGAGCGTCGCGAATGTTCGCATGTAGATTGTGGAGCTTCTGGATGCACTCAAGTAATTGCACGGCAAGGCTAGCAAGGCCTGCACCACCAGCAACCACGCCCAGGACAGCTTCAGCCGTATATCTCTGGAAATGAGGACAGAGCGATGGAATCAGCGAAGGTTCTTGTAGATTTGTTCTGGAATGAGCGTAAGGGACAGAATTAAGGGAGATCAGTATTTAGAAGGAATGTCAAGAGCGGAGTGAAGGGCAGAGGCAGAACTATGATGGGGGGGAAAGAAGTCCGCAAGACGATGGTTGTCGAGGCAGTGTTGGGCTGAAGGAGGCTGAGGTACTGTAGCGTTGTGTTGAAAAAAGCGGCTGGGTTTTTATCAGGCAATTGTGATAGCAACGTCGCTGTAAAGCTCGAACGGAGCATAGTGTTCAGCACCTCACTCGGATGGGAGTTTAAGGACAGTCTGATATTTCCACGATAGAGGAAATGATTCTGTCACCCAGAGTAATATGCTCATTTCCCTTTCCTATAAATACGTCTGCCAGTCGTGTATGCTATCATTTTACCATCATAGAAATAACACAGGGAAGAGAGTGAAGAGAAAAGAAAACTGCGAAAAGGCAGTAGTACGGAATAGCATTATGGAGGACTTTTTTCTATACAATTCACGCTGTGCTGGACTGTCCAGACCTGCACCGCCATATCTGTATGTGGCCCTGTATGTGCGCGTGCGGGCTCCGCAAAACTGTCGATTTTGGATCTTTGACCTTGACTATACTAAAATGCCATCAGTCAAAGCACCCTCAATGTTGCTCTTGAGTCTTTACCTTAAGAGGTGCAAAGCCTAAAATCCTAGGCAGGGAGCACAAACAAATACTGTGTATATATTTTCAGACTACCGGTACTGATAGATTGAGTAGGGTTCTCCATTTGCCTTGGAGTGGCAGATATCGCTTCGTGCAGCTCTTCGTCTCGCCGACGCTTTGACGGACAGCTGCTGGTAATGCAACTAGAGCCTGAGATCGTAAGCGTCAAAGTTCCTCGTCAAGGTAATTCTCTTACGGTTCCACAACGTGCAGTTGAAACCTCTGGGGCTCTACCATTCCGACCTGATCAGGAGTGATGCCTTGCTGTAAGCAGTAGTCAACGGCGCTTGTGTAGTCCTGGCCCATTTCTCGTTGAATCTTTCTGTTGATTGCTCGCCTATCAAAAACCTTTGTTCTTTCAGGGGTGCTCGGTTTCAAGGTCATCGTCAATCTCAATTCCCTTTCTGGGAGGTAAAGTAAGATCGGAGACTGGGAACCTGAGAACAATTTCAATCAGAAGCACACCTAGTCTCCACACATGCATATTCTTGATCTCTTCTTCACACCACCATCGTTTGTTCCCAATGTCACCTGAAGCAGTATCGACATGGTCGACTCTCCCAACCCTTGCTCGAAACGTTGTTTTCAAATCGGCAACCTCTGTGCGGTAAACGCAGCAGCTACACAGGTTAGAAAACCAATTTGTTTTCAAGGAAAACAGAACCCATTCGGCGAGCTGATACGCAAGCCTCCACCTTTCTTCTGACTTAAACGGTCCATGTAGTTCTTTCTCACAGTCCATCTTGTACATGGCCATGAACGTCCTCAGACACATGATATTTACTTCCTCGTGCGGTAATGTCAAGATCTGCCTATCCACAAGGCCTATCCTGAGTCTTCAGCACCATTTCCACGCCTCTTCGGGCCTGTGACTCGAAGATCTAACGTGCACGGATATTTAGCACTACATTCACAGAGAACTCACGAGCGTATTGGGACCCTCACCCTTTACAGGTCCAATTCTCAACGCCTCTGAATCGACGCTAGGTCATCTGGATCGTTCCTCTGGGTCAACCCAGTACTTCGAGAAATTATCAAGCAAGTTTACCTCCATGGCAGTTTCCATCACATCAAATACAGAGTACGCCCATACCTCAAGACTTGTGGGATTTCTACGAACGTTCACTTGGAAGAATCGATTCCATATACGTGAACGACGCAGCAAGGATATTCCAGATCTTGCATCATGCTCGCGATGGGATAAGCTTCTGACAGCTTCGTATTGCATTGGATGGGCGCTCAGGCGCCAGTGTCGATACTGACATTTTGAGTTTGACGGCTGGCTATAGCGAACAAGAAGGAAGGCTCCTGCTTCAGTTGATTTTCCGTTGTGGTGGCTTGGTTGAGGTCCAAGGGCGTGTTTGTTGCCTGCGTTTGATATGTTATTGCTGACCCCATCCCAGGGACAGGGTCTGCTTCACTAACCAGACGGTCAAAAAAATACTTCAGTTCTCGTGATAACTTCTTGTCGACTCACCAAAGAATTAGCCTATCAGCATTTGACCCAGATATTGCTCTTCTGCAGTTGACCATAGTTCTCCTGCACCTCTGGCTTGACGACAGCTTTCAATGGCAGCTGGATACCAATGACCTTATAGAGCGTGCGATTGAACATGCGTCTCGGATCGAAGAGAAGTCAGGCAAGGCTCATGTGCCGCTCTTTGACAAGTTGGAGTCTTTTTGTGCACTGTCTCATTGAAGTAGAAAGTCCACATAGCTCCGAGGGAGTTTCAACAGCATCGAAGAACAAGATGTTTTGGTCAACGCAGCTTCATCCGAAGCCTGACAAACTGTACCCTTTGTGTGCAGAATCTTCCCTGACGTTTGTGACAATAAAGTGTCTTGTCCGCTATGTCGAGTCGAAACTGGTTTCTCCTGATTTCGAGAGTGAGCCCGAGTGTCCACTGTTGATCTACGCAACAATCGGCAGATGGCGGCATCGGATTCAACCACTGCTGGCAATGGTCAAATCACATTTGTCTGGTGGTCAAAATCCCATTGCCCCGTTTGAAGGGTCGACAATTTGGAAGCTTGTGTTACATCACCTAACCTTCGAAAATAACCTAGCAAAGACTGACGACAACATTCTCAAGATTGGTTTGAGATCTGCTCATTCTTGATGCATTGGCGCAGATGCCGATGCACTCTCACATCACGAGTCTGAAGACATCGCGGAGCGTCTGAAAGTCGCGAAAATTTATCCCGGTGCAGCCATCTAGGGATATTGCATGAAAGGATCGCATTCGTGGTCACGGCTGTGCAAGGCTAGTTTTATATAGAGAACGGCAGTGAGATCGTGGTGTCGGGGACCCTCCTGCATCCAGAACTGGGAGAAATTTTGGAGCCAGGCTCTATTCTGCAAAAGGTCCCTCTCAAAATTCGGCATACACGCCAACCTGGGGAAGCTGTGTAAAGGTCATAATTGGCGGCGACTATGGATCATTCAGGAGGTGTTGATCTGGCTTGTCGGTGAGACAACATATACCCTTTTGTCCACCGACATGGACATGGACATGACGTGTGACGATGACCATTCAGAGCACCAATAGAGCAGTGAGCACAAAAGTTGTAAGGAATATCTTCGCATTTCGAGCAGTTGTCACTCTGCTTGTGCTACCAGCCATAGGACCGAGTGAGCTGAGGAGGCGGGAAAGGTACTCGAGTACCTGACGAGGCTGAAAACTGCTCGTAACTGACTCCCCTTCAGGCTTAGCGTGACGCCGCCCTGTGCTCGCCCAGATCGCGCGAGTCAGTCGGAGCGGGCCGGGCTGGGCGATTCACAAGTTGTTGCACACAGAATAGTAGTGGTTCTATCTGCTTAATTGTGTCCTGCCCCCCTGGCTATTCAGAGAGACTCTATCTGTTTATATACACTTTGGCCTGTGATCTGAAGGCCATTCCTGAAACCTCTTATTCCGTCGCTATCCTATCACAGATCGGCGAGAACAACGGTGTTGAGGTAGGTGGCGCACTTGCTGAAACGCCTAGCCTCTCAGGTGGTTTGCCACACAGTAGCTATCTCGAGACCCTGTCAACACCAGTCATAACCGGGGCCGGGGATGAAGGGCCGCGCTATAGGGATGTCATCGATGGCTCGGACCCTGCCCGTGGGGGGATGGACATGATTCTTGCTTCGTCCTCATCCCTACGTCTTTGGCCGCCATGGACCCTTCCCGCTGCCTTCCCGCATCCTTGCAAGATCAGCCCTCATCGCCTGGGCATCGCTATCCTGCCTTCTCCTCGGCCATGCCGTACAAATACCTACTCAGGGCTCCGCCGCACGACTGGATTGGCTCTGCTCCCACTGCCACGCTCACTGCCATGCCCCAGGGTGTCGGGGCTGATGTCAAGGTCTAGGTGGCTAGGTATAAGGAGCGGCGACCAGTCTTTCCGCTTGTGCTAACATAGGATTAATGTAGGTGTAAGAAAACAAGCAATTGGTGAGCAAAGAGAATATAGTTAGCAACCGCGGATTTCGCGACGGTCTTATCAATCACGCTTGATAAAGCATAGCCAGCTCAGTCTCGAACCGACCACGCCTCATACTCTTTCAGAACGGTCTCTGACAGCAGCCCATCATCGCATTCTCTATCTGAATCTGTTAGACTTTCTGAAGACGGTACACGAGCAATGATGTTGTACGACGACCTCGGGTTGGCTGCTTGGCTGGTGCGTGGCAACGGCAGAGAAGCGGCAGCTTCGCCAGCAGCTTCACGACGTCTTGCCAGCTCTTGCCTTCGCTTTTGCTGTCTTGACGCTGCACGGATTCGTCAGTCTCCGGCATCGAGGGGAAAGCATAACGCAAGAGAAATTCTTACCGTTTCTCTCGTTCTCCACGATAAATCTGCGTGGGAAGCCGCTGATGGGGTAGTCGCATGTGTAGACCTTGTTCGGCGTTGAGCTAGGTTGTCTGAGCCGAAGAAGGATGTAGACCGGATCTTCGCGATCCTGGATCTCAATTTCCGCATTGAGGGTTCCCTCGAAGACTTTGCGAGTGTACATGTCGTCCAGAAACTTTTTGTCGAGATCAAGGAGCTGCGTCACTTTTTAGCTCGGCGGCCTTGCGAAAGAGATGTGCATCAAGTTTTCAAGGGAAGTGGTACGTACTGTAAATTCTTCCAGGGACGTCAGACTCTTTTTCACCACAAAAGAGGGAACAAAGTCCCCAATGATGTGATTTTGGAGAAATTCAGCTAGGGTTTTTATGCTCTGGTCCTGGTGGACGAGTTTGCATTGGATATGACCTTTTTTGGACTCATTAGCTACCTCCTTCTAAGTCGCTTGAACTCACCTGTGCAGACAAAGACCCGGTTTTGTCTATTGCCATGGAAGTGAGACTCGTCCTTTTTGAAATAGAAGGTGCTGGCAACAAGCGCGTTCGCAATTTCAGTGATATCCCTAGCCAGTGGAGGTTGTCTGAGCAGCTTATACACTTTGCGTTGAAGCCTATTCACATCCGACTTTGCATCTAATGGCGGGGGCTTTTCTCCGAGGTCAGGGTTGATGCGGACATAACGGGACGCAAATTCCGTTGCCCACTGTTCACCGACCGTGTCGCGGTAGAATTCATGCCAGGACCATTCAGTGTCAAGGATATTGTCGATTTTGTCAACCTGGATGACCGAGATCAGAAGATCTAGCGAATCAGGATGGACCAGTGACACTTACTAGGACGCTGAAGTAATTTTTGATGCCTTTCCAGGCTCGATACTTTTTTGGAGGGTCCCGAGATCCTTCTTTTTGCTGCATTCTTCTCAATTGGTCCTCTCTGGAGTGACCAGAAAGTCTGTTTAGTTTCTGGCCCATCTCTACTGCATGTTGGCCCGTGCCGAGTGAGAGGAATATATCCGGATGGCGCGACTCGACATCTGGCCACAGCAACCTCCGCTCCCTTTTCGCAACAATCGCTGGATTGTTGTGATTGATAGCCCCATCAAGGTAAGTCCTTCCTCGCCTCACAAAAGGTTTGAAGTATGACGGAGCAGCCGAGGTTGCAGCGGCAGCTTCCCAGACTCGAAAGGCTTCATTCGGTGCGCTCGCGGTTTCCAAAGTGTATCCAGGATCAGAAGTTTCCTGTCGGTTGTAGTTGGCCATGATTAATGATCGGTTGCCAGTACCTGAAGTAGACACCACAGCTACCTTCGTGGCATATCTCGCGGCGTGACCTTTTCCCCCGAACAGAAGATGGTTACCAAAGGACTCTTGCAGAACTTGATGCAGGGGTGTAGTTTTGTATTTGCTCCCATGGTTTAAGGTCGCCAGTTTCTCGAAGATTGTATCTGCGAATTCCCTCTCTGTGAATGCTGTTTTGCAAAGAGCCGTGAATTTATCTGTGCATTTGGACACAGGCCACTGGGCTGCAACCAGGCCGAGAGCGATGATGCCACCGGTGCTAACGGTGTCAGGATTCGCAGAAAGGACTAGGGCTAGTCAACTCACCTTGTTCCCACAATCAGATCGAATAACTGTTGAATATGAATGCCGCGAGTTGAATGGTAGTTGTTGATGCAATTCTCGATCGCACGCAAGATCTCAAGCTCCACAGCACCACGAATTCCCCCGCTAGCAGCTGATGTTAGCTTCGTATGAGAGGTTGCGGAGACGCTCACCCGTCCAGACACAGAATTCTCAGGCCTGCGAATTCGGGCTTTTTGAGTATTTTCCAGTTCATAGACCTCTTTCCTCGATGTAAAGGGCAGCTGCCGACCAGAGTGATAAGGTCGTCTTGTTCCTCTCCGTGTTCTCGAATGCAAGAGCCGCAGAGGATATGCCCGCATTCGAGTGCATATTCAGGTGTCGCCATGAGACATCGAAAGCAGCTCACGCAGCTAATAAAATCCCGTGAAGATTTGATCTGGGATGAGAAAAACTCGGCGAGTTTTTCTTCGTGTAGTCGCGAGACTAGTTTTATGTCTGTCGAAATGGAGACTTCCTGGTTATCGGAAAGATTTGTCCGAGCTTGTCCCTGGAATGGATACCTCGTGCTAAGCTCTTTTATAAAAGTGCTATTGAGCGCCTTCAGATTGTCTTCGATCTTCTTGATCCAGACCTTCTCATATAAAGAAGCCATAAGTGAAGACCTGTATGGTCCAATTTCTCTCTTACCCTTCTCATTCTGGTGTCCCTTGTCGTGAGCGGACTTGACGTTACAGCAGTGAGGTATTTTCTTGCTTGCGTATTCGCAAGACATAATGTCGTTGCAGAATCTATATAAGGCAGTCCTGCAGAATGGGGCGTAGTTTTTTGCGAAGTAATCAATCACAGGACCTGTAAAATCAGTAATGAGAATCTTCGCCGCATGAAGGACGGCACCGACTCACCCTGCAAGTTGTTCCGGACGTAGTCCAACAAAATGCACGATGCTATCAGCGAACACAAACCCCCGAGAAGCATTTTCGGTTGGAGACGCTCGTGACGGGTGCTCTCGTGGATGGTTCTTGCCAACGTCAAAATATGATCGCTAAAATCGTGGGCAATGAGTTTATTACGAGTGGACACCGTTCTGAAGTCAAACGGTGTTTCAATGTCGTTGGCAAAATGCTCGAAGCCCGCTTGTAGGTATTGCTGCAAGTCGTCGGCGTTGGCTAGCCGCCGCTTTATGCTTTTCTCGTAGTGTGCGGTTTGACAGACTCTGATGATTTCCTCTCGGAGTAGCAAGATTTGCTTGTTGATCAAGTTGTACGTTTCAGAGCTCTTCGCAGGGATGCGAATCACGCGTACGGATCGGTAGTAGCATTTGAGCAACTCACGGGCAGACAAGCTGCGGCAATCACTTTCGGAAGCAAAATTCTTCGCGAGCTCTCTGAGATCATGGCCAGAAGTTGTGATGCCTTGAACGTCTCGGAAAAAGCTCCTCGTCGCATCTTCAATTGTCCATCTCTCTTCTTTACCAGCCACCTCAACAGCGTTGAGGACAACTATGGCGCTGGGCAGAATGGGTTGATTCAACGACTTTTCAACGCTGCGCTTGGCAAAGTCGACGAGGTATTTGTAGGTGATGTGGAGTTGGCTTGCGTTTCATGAGTAAGGGATCCTCGTGAGTGAAGCATACTTACTTGGGATTTCTCTGGACAAAAACAAGAGCGTCGGAGAAAGTATAGAGAAACCTAGGGTAAAGATTGGTGACGGCATATTCTCGAGTCCCCTTAATTGGATCGTTGGCCTTTGTCCACTGAATTGGAACAGACCTCCCAGCAAGTCTCATTTTTAGTTTATTTTGCCCGCTTGCCTCTTTTGCTACTTTTCTGGAATGGGACGGATCTTCTGCAGCGAAAGGTATCTTCTCGCCGGCGTTCAAGCCCTCACAGTCAGCATAAAGGATAGGTATTGCGACCTCCAGATGCTCTGGGTCAGCGTACAGGTGTACGCCTTCGGACGTGGCTGTTCCTTCATTGGCTCGGGAGCCCGGGACAGGAGTATGAAAAGAATCTCGGCCGGGATCGGTGGACACCAAACCACCATGAGACACGAGCGCTTTCACGATTGTACTTTTGCCAGCATCTAACCAATGTCAGGGAACTCCAGATACCAGATCTTGATGTACTTACATGTGTCCCCAATGAAAGAGACTAGTTTTGGGTATCTGGCAGCGCCGCCGAGCGGCCGACTTTCCATCATCATTTGACCGTAACGGCCAAAGTCGCAGAACTCGGATTTTCTACCCCCCGAGGATTTGACAACTCCAAACCACTTTGAATCCTGGTCTTTGACATGCAAATTCCTAACCTCTTGAGGATCCATTGGCGGTTCCAGGATTGAGCGTATCATCAATATCGTGGCTCTGTCTTCTTTGGTATGAACGCGACCACCAAGGCTCGTGGTTTTTGCTTTGTGAGCAGCCTGTCGTGGCCAGCATCCGTCGCAGAATGAAATGCCGGTGCAGGCTGAACAAAGCCAGACTTTCACATCGGTTTGCTCACAGTCAGCGCAAGCATCGCCGTTCGCCATGGCGTCGATCAATCAAATGAAGGATTGAGTCGAGCGTCTCAGCTTGACGCCTAGGAGTTGCTGGTGCAAGAGCAGGGAGGTCGCTGCGAGTGTGCGACACGGTAAGATATATAAAAGTTTGCTCGGCAAACGGAGCAGAATGAAATTAAGTCAGGCTTCAGCCTCACCATGAACATGTGCTCAATGGATGTCATCTCTTTTTTCACAAATAGGATCCCGCGTTTTGACCAGGTGTGAGACAAGGCAGCTGCTACTACGGCCGAGTCTAGTAGTTCCCTGGCACCAGGTCACCTGCTCATCGCTCATGAAAAACCTTCCAAGAGCAGTGGTACAAATAGCAGACGTACTATCCGTACAGAGAGGGCATCAAGGTTTGAGCCTCATTGGCATGAGGTGCTCGCTTTGCCATCATTTGCAAGGATGATCCTAGGCCTTCGTACCCGTGTAGTTGAGGGACTGGCATGGCTTCAACCGGCCTGATGCAGATGCAGCTGAACACCAGAGATCTTCTCTCGATATTGAGCTGACAGGGCGGGCCGGCGGCGGAGCTTGTAGCTTTTATTTTGGCGTAAAGGGTCAGGTCGAAAAGTCCTTGCGTGGGATCAGTTGTTCATTTGACTCTCTATCTTTGTTTTTAAGGGGGGGGAGGGGCCCCTGGGGTTTCGGAGCAGATCCGGAACTACGGTCCGGTAGCCACTATTTGAGAGGGCTGAGCCCATAGCGGTGCATACTCGCATTGGTCGTATATCAGTAGAATTCGAGTCCTTGGGTTGGAGGAGCACACAGGCGAATAGGAGCAGAACGGAATATGAAGCAAGGAATATCAGCAAGCAATGTGACCCTAAAAGCGGCGTCGTCGGCGCCCAGCCTCGTGAGCTCTATTAGGCCGCCAAGACTGGACTCGTTGTCCCTCACGACGAGGCTGTAAACACGAAACGTTTACTGCATGATGAGTTTCCCTGCACACGCGGCTTACCCGGAACTATCTGAGAAGTGCAAACTAGAGCACCAAATTCACCAGCATAGATCTCTGAAAACTCAAGTCTGAAGTTAAA